CTGGAAAGTATGGTTTTCTGAGTGTTTTTATTATGAGTAAGTGTTGGGTCTTGTCAAGTGCTTTGCCTGAATCAGTGGAGATGCCCATCTTTTTTTTTTTTTTTATAATGGAAACAAGGGCATTTTCTTTTATTCTTAACCATGTTTTTATTCCAAGTTAGATCCAGCAGGTGGAACTGATTGCTCTCTTCCAGTGTCTGGGCTCAAAAGACAAATACAACTGCTGACGTCTTCATTGAATTCACTGATGATGAGACTTGCTAGAACTGTCCATCCTGCTGTTGCTCTTTTAGGATTGTTGTAAAATTGCTGCTGTTGTTTTTTTTTTTTTTTTTTTTTTTGCTGCTGTTGTTTAGTCACTGAGTTGTGTCTGACTCTTTTGCAACTCCATGGACTGTAGCCCGCCAGGCTCCTCTGTCCATGAGATTTTTCAGGCAAGAATACTGGAGTGAGTTGCCATGCCCTCCTCCAGAGATTCCCATCTTTTGATATGTCATTTCTGCATATGTATGTTTATATCATTTCACTACTCAGAAATTTTACTTAACACACACACACACACTAAACTGGGAACAAAGTAACATACTCCTCTGTTAGCTCTATTTTTCATTCAAACTGTGTTCTTCACTCCTGTGGTAGGTAGAATAATGCTCCCACAGAGATGTCTGTATTGTAATCCCTGGAATCTGTGATATGTACCTTCACATGTTAAGAATTAGGCTTGCTTATCAGGTGACCTTGAACTGAGATTATTCTGGATAATCTGGGTGGTCCCAGTGTAATCACAGGGTCCATTAAAGTAGGGGTCCCCAATCCCTGGGCCTTTTAGGAACCAGGCCACAGAGCAGGAGATGGGTGAGCAAGCCCCCACGTGGTGGGCGAGAAAGCCGGGCTTCATCTGTATTTACAGCTGCTCCCCATTGCTCATATTATTGCCCGAGCATTAGATTCTCATAGGAGTGCAAACCCTACTGTGCTTGAATCATGCCAAAATCACCCCTCACCCCCACTCCTGAGCATGGAAAATTGTCTTCCACCAAACCAGCCCTGGGCGCCAAAAAAGTTGGGGACCACTGCTTTAAAGTGAAAGAGGTAGGGTAGGAAGAAAATCAGAGTGAGAAGGAGATGTAACTTTAGAAGAAAGGCTCCAAAAATGCAGCATTGCTTCCTGTGAGGATTAGAGGAAGAGGGCCAAGAACGAAAGAATGTGAGTGGCCTTCAGAAGCCAGAAAGGACAAGGAAAGGGATTCTTTCTTGGAGCCTCCAGTAAGGAATGTGTTGTTACCCACACAGTTGACTTTAACCCTATGGAGTGCAGTGTCAAGCCTGGACCTACAAGACTGTAAAATAATAAATTTGTGTTGTTTTCAGCCAATTTTGTGGTAATTGGTGTAAGAGTACAAAATAAATATAACTACCCAAACATATTTCTGATGTTGGTTTATTTTTTCAGGCAATCTCATGTCTAGATTTCCTTTAGGTTATTAAAATTGAAATAATTATTGAAAGCTTCTTCAACCTTTAAGCCTTTTTCTTCTTCCAAAGCACCTCCTAGGTGTCCTCTCCAAATATATCTAGTTTCTCTCTCCTCATTTCTATAGTGTTTTTTTTTTTAACTTCTTCATGTTATCTAACATTAATACAAAGTTTTGGAATATAGTATTTGACATTGATATTATTAAAATTTTATTCTCCTTTTTAAAATGTTCTGTTATCTTGGTGTGTGTGTACATGTATGTAAATTTGGGTTTATATATAAGATTTATTCCACTGTATATGATTATACCTCTCTTTTTAAACATTTGAATCTTTTATTTTAAACCAGTAGGCTACTACATCTTTCCCAGTCTTTTTCTGTTAACAGTCTCTATTGCATATGAGACAGTCCATGTGTGTTTTAACTTAAATTTGGCACTTGTGAATTAGATCCTATAATTTAAATTTATGAACTAGAATATTATAATCATAGTGGTGAGTTCTTCTATCCATATACCAAGGGAGTTATACATAATTGTTAGGAGGCATGTATCAGTTTATATAAACCATACTTTTTGAAGCCAGTCATTGATATTAAAGATGATCATAGTTTCTCTGTAGACAAATTATAGGCAGACTTTCTTTTTTAAAAAATTTGGGTATATTTGCTGTACAACATTGTGTTAATTTCTGCTGTACAATGAAGTGAATCAGCTATATATAAACATATATAAACTATATATATGTTATATAAACATATATAAACTATATGTTATATAAACATATATAAACTATATAAGTTATATAAACATATATATATAAGTGTATATATATATATATATATATATATATATTCCCTCCCTCTTGGACCTCCCTTCCTTTTACCACACCCTCTACCCCCATCCCACCCATCCAGGTCACCATAGACCACCCAGCTAAGCTTCCTGCACTATACAGTAGGTTCCCACTAGTTAATCTGTTTTACACATGGTAGGGTGTCTGTGTCAGTTCCAATCTCTCAATTCATTCCTCCCTTCCCCCAGGTTCACACATCCATTTTCTTCATCTGTCTCTGTTCCTGCCCTGCAAATATGTACAATTTTTCTACATTGCACATATATGCATTAATATATGGTATTTATTTTTCTCTGACTTCATTCTGTGTGACAGTCTCTAGATCCATCCACATGTCTATAAATAACCCAATATCATTCTTTTTTATGACCAAATAATATTCCATTGTATAATATATGTGGTGGTGGTGTTTAGTCACTAAGTCGTGTTTGACTCTTGGGACCTCATGGACCCACCATACTTCTCTGTCCATGGGGTTTTTCAGGCAAGAATACTGGATTGGGTTGCCATTTCCCTTTCCCAACCCAGGAACCAAACCTGTGTTTCCTACTTTGGCAGGTGGATTCTTTACCACTGAGCCACTTATATATATATATACACCGCATCTTTTTAAATCCATGTATCTGTTGATGGACATCTAGTGTGCTTGCATGTTGTGACTATTGTAAATAGTGTGCTACAGTGAACATTGGGATGCTTGTGTCTTTCTGAATTATGGTGTTCTCAGGGTATTTGCCCAGTAGTGGGGTTGCTGGGTCATATGGTAGTTCTATTGTAAGTTTTTTTAAGGACCCGCCATACTGTTCTCTATAGTGGCTGTATCAATTTACATTCCCACCAATAGTGCAAAAGTGTTCCCTTTTTCTCCACATCCTTTTCAGCATTTATTGTTTGTAGATTTTTTGATGATGGTTGTTCTGACTGGTGTGAGTTGATACCTCATTGCAGTTTTGATATGCATTTCTCTAATAATTAGTGATGTTGAGCATCTTTTCATGTGCCTCTTGGGCGTGGGAGAAATGTCTACTTAGGTCTTCTGCCCATTTTTTGATTGGGTTGTTTAGTGTTTGTTTTTCTTTTGATACTGAGCTACATGAGCTGTTTGTATATTCTGGAGTAATCCCTTGTCAGTTGCTTTGTTTGCAAATATTTTCTCCCATTCTGAAGGTTGTCTTTTCATCTTGTTTATGGTTTCCTTTGCTCTGTGAAAGCTTTTAAGTTTAATTAGATACCATTTGTTTAGTTTCTGTTTTATTATTCTAGGGAGTGGATACAAAAAAATCTTCCTGTGATTTGTATCAAAGATGGTTCTTCCTATGTTTTCCTTTAAGAGTTTTATAGTGTACCATCTTACATTTAGGTCTATAATCCGTTTTGAGTTTATTTTTGTGAATGGTGTTAGTGTTCTAATTGCATTCTTTTACATGTAGCTGTCCAGTTTTTCCAGTGGCACTTATGAAAAGACTTGTCTTTGCTCTGTTGTATATTCTTATCTCCTTTGTCATAGTGTACATAGGTATGTGGGTTTATCTCTGGGCTTTCTCTCCTGTTCATTGATATATAGGTCTATTTTTGTGCCAGTACCATACTGTCTTGATTACTGTAACCTTGTAGTATAGTCTGAAATCAGGGAGCCTGATTCCTCCAACTTCGCTTCTCTTTCTCAATTGCTTTGGCTATTTGGGATCTATTTTGTTTCTATACAAATTGTAAAGTTTTTGTTCTAATTCTGTGAAAAATGACATTGGTAATTTGATAGGGATTACATTGAATTTGTAAAGTGCTTTAGGGTAATATAGTCATTTTCACAGTATTGATTCTTCCAGTCCAAGAACATGGTATATTTTTACATCTGTTTGTGTTGTCTTTGATTTCATCAGTGTCTTCTAGTTTTCTGAGTACAGGTCTTTTGCCTCCTTAGGTAGGTTTATTTCTAGTTATTTTATTCTTTTTTGTTGCAATGGTAAATGGAATTGTTTTTTTAATTTCTCTTTCTGATCTTTCATTGTTAGTGTTATAAGAATGAAAGATTTCTGTGCATTAATTTTGTATCCTGCAACTTTACCAAATTCATTGATTAGCTCTTAGTAGTTTTCTGGGGGCATCTTTAGGATTTTCTGTGTAGAGTATCACGTCATTTGCAAACAGTGACAATTTTACTTCTTTTTTTCCAGTTTGGATTCCTTTTATTTACTTATTTTTCTTTTCTAATATCTGTGGCTAGGGCTTCCAAACCTATGTGGAATAATGGTGGCAAGAGTGAACATTCTTGTCTTGTTCCTGATCTTAGAGGAAATGCTTTTAGTTTTTCACCAGTGAGAATGATGTTTGCTGTAGGTTTGTCATATACATAGGCAGATTACATATATATATGTCAAAAATATATGCCAAATATATGTATATATTACATACATATATATATATGTCAAAATATAGGCAGATTTTAGGCAAAAGTAAGAAAAGTATTTTGGAGATCAGTCAAAATGAATATTTATAATATAAAAATGCTTAATTCTTCTTTATCATTGGATCTAAACATAAAGAAAAAGCAGTTTACTCCCCAGCAGTAAGAAAACAAGTTTTCTAGGAATAAAAGAAATTTCAGCAGAATTGATTTTTTTATATCATACTTTTGAATATTTACTGAATGTGTTATTTGTGTCTTGTAGAATGGAGATGTATGCATTTCAATTCTTCATCCGCCTGTAGATGACCCACAGAGTGGAGAACTGCCCTCTGAAAGGTGGAATCCTACTCAAAATGTCAGGTAAGGAATTCCATAAGAAATAATCTGGTTTCTAGGTGGCTCTTAACATTGGATATAATCTTTTAACAAGTACAAAAGAATCCTTTTCTATATATGATTGCTTTGTTTTATGCTAGAGCTTTATGTAGCATGCATGTATCATTTTGAAGAGTTGTATTTATGAACTAATAATGCATATGTTGCTCATCTCTGTGTTCACTTTGGAAGAATTATTCTACTGTTCTTCCTCTTGCATTATCTGAGTTCCACCCTGCTGCTTTATATTTCATGACTTCCGTGTTTGAATTGGTTGCTTCTGTATTCTAGGACTCTTACTAATTTTTGCTGAAAAGTCTTAGTCTTTACACATTTTTTTTTTACCCATTCACCAGTTGATGGACATTTCAGTTGTTTCCACTCATTGGCTATTATGAATAATGCTGCTGTGAACATTGTGTGCAGGTTTTTATATGCACATATGTTTTCATTTCCTTGGACTTATTCCTGGAAATGGAATTGTGGGGTCATAACTCAGTGTTTAACTTTTCAAGGAACTGCCATGTTTTCCAACATGCCTGCATTAAATTTTTAGTGCATTCCCACCAGCAGTGTGTGAGAATTCCGATTTCTCCAGATCTTTGTTAGCACTTGTTATTTTCCATGTTTCTCATTATAACTAGCCCAGAAGGTTGACTGGGTATTCTTACTTTAGTCTTATCATCAGTGTGTTTCTTTTAAAATAACTTTAAAAAACTTATAACGATTTTAGGTTATCAGAGAAATCATGAAGTACAGATAGTACTCATGTTCCCCACACCTGCCAGTTTTCTTCGTTACTAACATATAACATTAGTATGGTTCATTTGTTACAGTTAGTGAACTTGTATTAGTACATTATGATTGATCAAAGTCCATATTCTTTTACATTTCCTTAATTTTTACCTAATGTCATTTTTTCTGCAAGATCCTACACATTATAGATAGCACATTATATTTAATAGATGTTTCTCCTTAGACAACTGCAACAGTTTCTTCGACTTTTCCTTGGTTTTGATGACCTTGACGATTTTGAAAGGTATTTAAGAATGTCTCCCAACTGGGGTTTTGTTTGATGCTTTTTTCTGCTTATTATACTGGAGTTATGAGTGTTGGGAGAAGTTAAGGTAAAGTACATTTTCATCATGTCATATCAAGGGTACCTACTGTCAGCATGACTTATCACTCTTGATGGTAACATTCATCACCTGGCTGAGACTTGTTTTTAGGATTTCTCCACTGTAAAGTTCCTACTTTCTGTTCTGTATAAAGGAAGTTACAGGTGTGGCCCACACTAAGGAGTGGGGAACTATATCCCCAGGAGGCTGGGATATCTATGTAAGTTATTTCAGGTTCTTCTGTATAGGAAATTTAAATCTGCTGTCCCACATTTATTCATTCTTTCAAACATCTTTTTTAATGATCTGGAAGCTAGTAATTAGAATCTCCATTTCTTACAAAAGCAAAGAATTGGAAGCTTGCTGATGTATGCAAGGCTCTCTTAACCTGTTTCTTCAAGTTATGTATTTGCTTCCCACTCTCTGTGATGAGTATACCTAAAAGACTATTCAAGACATATGAGATACTTTTGATTATGCTAATTACTCACTTCTTTCTAGGTACTTTGTTCTACCCAATATACAGGATTGGGAAAAATGGGTATGTTTTGGACTTCACCACATTTTGCAAGTATATTTTCTTTATCAGAAAAAAATGACTTCCCTTTTTAATTCAAATAAATGTGTTGATACACCTCACCTTGACAAGTATCATGCCTATGAATAATTCTCAGATCAGGCATTAAGACTTGCCATAAGTTTATAATGTCTATGAAATAAAGAATCATTACACACTTCTTGTACTTTCTGCTTTGCTTTAATGGGGTTGAAGCTTCCCTTGGGGTTGAAGCATTTCTCAACAGCAATCAGAGATGGAATTACTGAGTTTGTTTTACTGAAGATGTAATTCCAGCAGCCCCAATCTATACATATCTGAGTTTATTATACTCCACCAATAGCAAAATACTCTTACAAAAAAAATCACTCTATGTTTTTAACAAAATTATTTATGAGGAAGGAAAAACAGCTCTATTTGTAAATTTCTCTTTGTTTTGCACTTCTGATGTTTCATCCCCACTAGGCAAAGCACCATAGAAATTCTTGGGATGTGTGGGAAATATGCATTTCTTATAAAGGGCAATCCTGAAAAGGGAAGCTGGAAAGAACTGATGTGATATTTTATATTATCTCTAGGATCGCATGTATATTAGTTTCAAGACCATTGCTTTACACGGGATCTTTTTTGATCATTAGGAAAATTAGTATATTTCTGCCTCATCCCCTCGTATCTAAGCATCATACCACTGTTAGCTGAGTACTTGTACCCTTAGCCATACATACTTTATTACTTGAATTTTCAGCATCAAATAATACATTGACACTTGGATGTAAAAGAAAAGGAAATCTGCTTCCCCCTTCCCCCTTCTAGCTTTTAAGTATTATTGTTTCTGTATTGTCAGGGTTATAAAACTTACAGTCTGTACTGTAATGTGACATAATCCCAGTTTTTAAAATTCTCATTCCTGTTGTTAAATCAATTCACTATTTGCTGCTCATTATTTTACTTCCTTTGGTCTATTAATTGGCTGAAATTTGTTCATTAGTAATTTCTCAAGGGATTGCTCCTAGGAGCCATGTTTCATTCCCTGAGTTCTCACACATGCAAAATATTATGTGCTTGTGTATATTGGAGTATACTAGTGTGTTTGCCATTATATTTCAAATGACAGATTTTGACGAGATGTAAGATTTCCAGATCATGCTTTATCTCCTTGAGGATATTACTGGCTTTACTCTCTGGTTGCTGTCGAAAAGTTTGGCTACCCTGTTTCTCATCTCTCTCACACTATATAATTGTTTAAGAGGCTGACAAGCTTTTGAAAGAAACACATTATATTTTGTCAGTATAAGTAAACTGACAGTATAGGGAAGAGGATTTAAATATTTGGGAAGATGTGTTGAAAAACTGGAGCAAAACTGCAGAGTTGTTCTTTAAGGGATTTTGGTGCTTGTTTTTCAGGGCTAGCATTAACCCTAGACTAGAAGAAGGAGTTCTGAGGTGTTAGTGATTCTTGCTTTTGGAGGTTGAATGTTGAATCAGATGCTTCCCATACCACCCCACCCACCCTTTGAGAAAGCAAGCCTTCTCTTTTTTTTTTTTTTTTGTGGCTTAAACAGTAGAAATTTATTTTTTCACACTTTTGGACACTGTAAGTTGGCAAGGTTGGTTTCTTCTGAGGCTTCTGTCCTCAGTTTATCTCCACATGGTCTTCCCTCTGTTCATATCTGTGTCCTAATTGCCCCTTCTTATAAGGACATTAGTCATATTGGATTAAGACCTGTTCTGAGGACTTTATTTTAATCTGGTTACCTCTCTAGAGACTCTGCTTCACTTATAGTTTGAGGTACTGGGGATTAAAACTACAGCATAGAATCTGAAGCCTTCCCATTCTTTAGATGCAAAGCCCAAAACAAGATTTTTCTCATTGTATTCATGTGCTGCCTAGATGGAAAACCTATTATCATTGCCCATAGCAATTCAAATTTTTTGCCTTTACTAATGTGCAAATATACAAAGACTGTATTTGCCTTGTCTCAGCTTAAAATATAAACTTTTTTTTTTCCCCAAAAAGAAAGGCCTATTTGGGAAGTCCCCTGGTGGTCCACTGGTTTAGGACTCAGCGCTTCACTGCCTTAGCAGGGTTCAATCCCTGGTCAGGGAACTGAGATCCTGCAAACCACACAGCTTGGCCAAAAGAAAGAAGAGAAAGGCCTGTTTCTCATTTAATCCAGTCCTTTGGGGGCAGGGAACTCCTTTCGTATTCTTACTCTAAAACTACCTTAACTACTTTGGGTACCAGCATCAGTATTTTTTCTCTTTGGACCCTCAGGTAACCTGAGCCCCAGTTTAGAAGCACCTGGACTTCACATCAGAGATTGCTTTCCTTGCCTTCATGCTTTCTTATTTAGAGGCTTCACAGCCAGAACTTAGTATCTTCAGATTGTCCCCTTGATCGTTAGCCACTACTCCAAAAGAACTTCTCGGACCTTTTTGTTTCTTCATTCCATGTAATTGGATGATTCTTCAATGTATTGATCTTGGAGTGGGCAAGTAATGGCAGAGTTTTGGTGTTTGTGTATTTCTAGAGAGGGCATGGTGTTTTGTATGACTTGTGGAACCTCATCTGGAACTCTTGGTGATGCCCAGAACTCTGAAAAGTCAGAAAAGCACTACCTAATGTGAAACACATCACATTTGTCAGTGTGTTATTTGTTTTGAGATAAAGGAGTTCCTTAAGGTAGTAAATTGTATGTATTTCTCATAGGTTATTTATGGCACTGAAATATCAAGAGGCAAGATATGAGGTGCCAAAGTTTATTGTTGATATCTGTTTGCTGCTAAATTATCCAGAGTCAGCACTTGTCTGCCTCAGGATTCTAAGCTCCATGTCGAGTTTATGGCTGTAGCAAGACAGCAGTGGAGGCGGCCAAACGTTCGTTTCAGCCTGTTGTAGGGTCTTGACTGTTGAGTGGCTCTGTTATCTGAAAGTGGTTCCTTGTTCACATGTGTTTGGACTTCTCCATGACCACATGCACTAGTCTTGATTTAGCACCTCAGTGAACATACTCAGAAGATAAAGTTGTGCAGGCTTTTGTAACCTGAAGAAGAGGAAGGAATTCCAGTTACCTTTGCAAGCCTAAGTTGATTTATATCACAAGACCTGTTGAGTAGTGAGAGTTGGCTAAAGGGGAAAGCAAGGAAAATGTGCTGTGGTACAGTTGTAGGGATCTAGAGCATTAGCTAACTAGTTTCCACTAAGAGCTCAGTAGTCTCCTCCTCTTAGAGGAGGCCAGCATACTTTCTGGAAGAAGAGATTCACAGCCCTGTCCTCAGATGTCCAGGATTAAGTTTAGGGGACAGAAGTTCCTTACAGAATTCGGAAGTTTTGGAGAAGTAGGTATTAGTCAACAAAAAATGAAGTTGGGAGGGTTGGGACCCCTAATGCTGCCACATGTTTGTGATTAGGGGTCCACAGTGGAAGAAACAAAATGTGCCTTAATTTGTATTCTCTTGAGAACCAAATGAGAGCTTTCCGTGGGTGGGTGGGGGTTCCCTCAGACTTTGCAGTAGGATTCACAAGTGCTTTCTCTGAAGAACCACCCTCAGAACTACCTGCCATATCTTCTGCAGGCTCTTGGATAGGAAAGTGGTCTTTTTAAGGATTTGCTTTCCTCCGAAGGATAGAAAAGTGTTTTATTTGCCATGGGACCAGATTTATGGATCCACTCCAGAGGACACACTGTCACGTACAAGGGTCTCTCAGGAGTAGGCTAGGATGTTCTCCTGTCTAGTCTTCTCTACAACCCACGGGAAGGGCAGGGAGCTAGTGACACAAGTGCTGGACAGCTTACACTGTGTGTATAATGTCCTTGCCAGCCTTTTTGAATCACGGTACACAGGAAAAATGAAGTGATATTATTTGTAGATCACAGTGTAGCAAACTGAAGATGCTCCTTTGGCCAGAAGTTACCATTCCAGAGGCTCAGGTTGTCCCAGGTCCTCCCCACCTATCTGCCTGAGGGGAATCACATATAACCTTTCTGTAACCCAGTCGTAGCACACTGGTTGGGAAGTTTAGAACAGGATATTGCAAATGCAGCTGCATCAGAATTCTTCCTTAGGGTTGAGTCCTTTGCCAGCACTTGGTTATGTGTCCACTGCTGTGGTGGGTGGGTTGTTTCTATGAAGGTGTAGCGTGGTTGTTTCTATGAAGGTGTGGCGTTGTTGTTGTTGTCTGAAGGTGTACTAGATGAAGAAGATTAACCCCATCTGAACCAGTGGCATGGATTTGATGTACCCCGCCCCCCCCAATGATTTCTGCTCTCCAAAGGGAGGAAGTGAAAACATGCTGGGTTAATAACTGTTATTGACAAATATTATCACAGTCTACTGTAGTTAGTGCCTGATGCTTCTGAAAGCATCATGGATTTCAATTTAGGGAATATATGGTACTGGAAGTGATTTTCTTTTCATAGAAATGGATGATTTACTATTTTTTAAAATTGTACTTTCCAATTTGTTGTTTCAATATGATATTTACATTGCAACATATAAAAAATCTACTTGGTGAGCACTCCTGGGAAAAGTCTCCTAAATCTGTTAATATAATTCATCTGGACCTGTGTTGTCCACTAGCCACTGTTACATTGGATAACACAGATTGTATGTTTCCATCATCACAGAAAGTTGTAAAGATACAGTACTGATCAGGACCATTAATCTATACCAAAGTTTGTCTTATTCTGCTTATTTTTCAAACAGATTTTGTATATGTTTTCTTCTGAAACAATCCTTACAGAATTTTCTGTACATATTTTTCTTTTGCTTCTAGGATATTGTCAGTCCATTTCCCATTTTTGGCAATGATGAGTTTCTTTGAATCTTCTTACTGTAACTACTAAAGAAATCCAGAAGGATGGGGGTGGGAGTTACAAGGAGTTAACCTAATAGGGGGGGGCATTAGAAAGGGGGGGAATAGAAAAGGGGGTATCACATATTAAAATATGTGATACATGGATTTTAACTAGATGGGAAAGTTTTCTTTGAAAGTGGCTTTGTGGTAATCTTGTATAATCACGTAACAGAAACTCTTTACGCTTTTAAGGAAAAGGTTTCATCAAATCAAACATCTAATTGTCTGGTTCCCTCCCTTTATTTTTTGCTTGGAGTCAGGAGCAAAAGGCTATTTTGCAACAACACAATCTGTAACCTCGCACCAATGAGAAAAGGTAGAGAAATTTAATTTTTCGTCCCATGTTTCTTCTTAACTTCATGCACATAGCTTTTAGGGGAGAAAAAAGCATGAGAACTATTTCAGACATTCTTGGATCTTACTGAGTTTATTTTATCTAACAGAAACTTCATTCCCTGTAATTAAGGTATCTAGTTTTATCTGTGGATGAAAATTTTTCACAGAATTTCTAAACCCTAAGAGATCAGGGATGGCATCTAACTCTCTGACAGTTGTACATTCAGCATCTCACTTAGTGCCTCTGGTACAATAGTAAGTGCTTAGTAAGTATTTTTGAATAAGATTTCTGTTATTACAAAATTAGTTCTTCCATGTTAAGGCTGTTGCTTTTTCTTCATTCTCCTGCTTAACTCTTACTTGCTTCCCTTAGAAGTATGGAAAAGAAATACATTTGTGTGTAATACTGGTTTTCAGATCTTCTAAGCAGCCATGATACAAATTAGATATATGGAGTTTAGCATCATTTTTACCCTTTGCCATGAAAAGATTGCCTTCAAGCTAAGTATTTTTTGCTTCTGCTTTTTCCTTTTGCACTTAACTAGAGTAATGGAAATAAAACCAAAATAAACAAATGGGGCCTGATTAAACTTAAAAGCCTTTGCACAGCAAAGGAAACAGTAAACAAGATTAAAAGGCAACTTTCAGAATGGGAGAAAAATACTGTAAAAGAAATAACTGACAAAGGATTAATCTCCAGAATATATAAGCAGCTCATGCAGCTCAACATTAGGAAAACAAATAGCCCAATCAAAAAATGGGCAGACCTAAACATTTCTCCAAAGAAGATATATAGATGGCCAATAAACATAAGAAAAGATGTTCAGCATCACTAATTATTAGAGAAATGCAAATCAAAACTACAATGAGGTCTCACCTCATACCAGTCAGAATGGCCATCATCTAAAAATTTACAAACAATAAATGCTGAAGAGAATGTAGAGAAAAGGGAACCTCCTATACTGTTGGTGGAAATGTAAAATGATACAGCCATTATGGAGAACGGTTTGGAGATTCCTTAAAAAACTAGGAATAGATCTACCATATGACCCAGCAACCCCCGTGCTGGGTATATACCCCTGGCCCTGCCCCGAGAAAACCATAATTGAAAAAGACACATGTACCTGAGTGTTCATAGCAGCTCTGTTTACAGTAGCTAGGACATGGAAGCAACAGAGGTCCATCGACAGATGAATGGATAACGAAGCGGTGTGTCAGATATACAAAGGAATATTACTCAGCCACGACAGAATGAATTTGAGTTAGTTCTAGTGAGGTATAACCTAGAGCCTGTTATACAGAGTGAAGTAAGTCAGAAAGAAAAAAACAACAACAAATACAGCATTAACACTATATGGAATCTAGAAAAACAATGATGAACCTATTTGCAGAGAAGGAGTGGAGACGGAGATGTAGAGTGGACTTGTAGACACAGTAGGGGAGGGGGAGAGTGAGACTAATGGAGAAATTAGCATCAGCCTATATACACTATCAGGCGTAAGATGGTAGCCGGTGAGAAGTTGCTCCGTAGCACAGGAAGCCCAGTGTGGCCCTCTGTGATGACCTAGAAGGGGAGGTGGAGAAGGAGAGGGAACTTGGGAGGGAGGGAATGTATGTAAAATTATGGCTGCTTTGTGTTTATTGTATGGCAGAAACCAACATAACATTGTAAAAATTAAAATATATATATATACACATACCCATATAAAAACTGTATGGCATTTAAAAAATAAGACATTGCAATTAAAAAATTTAAACCTTAAAAAAAAAACTTCATTTTTAAAATGTTATTTGAAAAGCTTCCAGATGTCCGATTTTTGTAGATTGGAACATGTTGCCAGTTAAGACAGTACCTTCTACAGAATTCATATTTTGGCCTGCAAACCAACCTTCATGCTAAACTCAGATTCCCTCTGTGTTGTCTCCCAGATAGCAACTTATTAACTTATTCCTAGTCTAACCAGTACCGGAAACAAAATTTTGATACTCCTCTAAAGCCTCAAGTATTATAGTCTTAAATTTAAAACAAAAACTTTTGAATACTGTGAATGTGAATATTCATAGCTGACCCTTTTTTCCTGTTTCTAGGACTATCCTGTTAAGTGTAATCTCATTGCTTAATGAGCCCAACACCTTCTCTCCAGCCAATGTGGATGCTTCGGTTATGTTCAGGAAATGGAGGGACAGCAAAGGAAAAGACAAAGAATATGCTGAAATCATTAGGTAAGGTGTTTTGTTTTGTCTTCTGTTTGCTTCAAGTCTTCATACAGAATCAAAGTATATCCTGGAACCAGGGGCTTAAATTGAATTTAAATGTCGACTCTGTGTCTGCCAATTAGGTTTATCATTTGGGAAGAGATTTGTGCCTGAGCCTAATGATACTGGCTTTTGAGAAAGCAGCAGATCTGATTTCCAGAACTTCCATGTTCTGACTAGTCGAGTTTGCAAACTCTTCCTCCTGATCAGTTTAGGGACACTGTTTTAGGCTTTCAACATGTCCTTTAAGTGTAGCAAACACCCAAGGTATTCCAGATGTCTTTTCCAGATATTTTTGTTTTCACATTTTTATTAGTGAAATCCTATAAATTATTGACGTTTTTAACCACAGCAACTTCTTCCAAGGATCATCCTCGCCTTCTCTAACTCCCTTACCGTACAATCGTTATCAACAACTGTATGTAGAACATGATATAACAGAATGGAGTAAGAATCAGGAGACTTGGAGTATACTCCTAGCTCTGCCATGCCTCACATGACCTCACTTTTTATACATATATATTTATTTAACTGCCCCGGGTCTTAGTTATGGCATGCGGGATCTTTAGTTGCAGCCTGTGGGATCTTAGTTCCCAAACCAGGGATCAAACCCACGTCCCCCGCACTGAAAGTGTGGAGTCTTAGCTGCTAGAGCACCAGGGAAGCCCCTATCAGTTAACTTTTGAGGGTCTTTAATTTTCCCGTCTGTAGAAGGAAAAAAAAAGGTAGATGGTATTAGACTCAGCCATACATTTCTAGTTATGTCCTGCATAGAATAAAAGGTTTTTGTAACAGTACTTAAGGATTGGTAGAGCTCCAGGGACAATTCCAGCCCATTCTGTGTATAGGAATTTTAGTAAGCACTAGAATTTATTTAAAAAGTCCCTCTCTATAAATCTAGTTGGCACACAGTACCATATGATTTTTTTTCTTTTTTTAATGCATGTCATCTGACAGCTGAATAAGTTGTCTGTAAGTCACCTTCAGACCCTCTCTCTAATCCACAGTCATTTGATGAAATTGCAAGGATAGAATCTGGGCATCTGTATTTTGTTTTTACCAGCCACTTAGGTGACTGGTTTATACCAAAGATTGAAGATAACTAGTGTAAGTAGTAAGAAGTTGAGTGTGGAAGTGGACTGAGGATTGGAAAATGGAGATTCTTCATAAAAGTGTCAGACGGAATTCTGATGTTCACGGGAAGGTTGGATGTCAGGCACAATCTTTTTCCTTAAGGGAATTCATACTTCTGTTTGTAAACAAACAAATGACTGTGTAATATGATAAGTGCAACTACAGAACCATAAACAAGATACAGTGGAAAGAATATATAATATGTTCCTAGTAGAAAGAATTCGTCATAACCAAGAATTTTTCAGAGAGAGGGAGAAACATGTTTACTAAAACACAGGTGTATAACAGCATGACATGTCAAGAGAGTCATAAATTCTAATTAGAGAATTGATGGGAAATTAAGAAAGGCATCAGGTCTTACAAGACAGTGAAGTCAAAAGGAGGTGACAGAGTGTCACTTAAAGATTTTGTTTGAAAGGATAATCCTAATTGAGTTCCAAAGGAAAGTGATTGACCAGGAGACTAGCTGAGATCTGAGGAGGCTGCGATGAAGACAAAACTAACAGAGTGACAAACAAGAATGAGAAAACAGATTTGAAAATATTTAGGACTTTGAAGTAAGGAGCTGAGAAAAGAAAGATGGGAGAAGCTGGCCACGGAGGCGGACGGCAACAGGCCAGGCAGATGAAGACCTGCTGCGTTAGGATTCCGTCAGGATGGAGAAGCGCACGGGGCTCAGAAGAGAGGTCTAGACTGGGCCCTGATGACTGAGGTCTGTCAGTTTGCAGGGTCAAGCCATGGGAACGATGAGGTGGCCCCAAGAGAAGGCTGTGAGGAGAGGCTCAAGCCTGAAAGCCTCAACACCAGCATTCAAGGCAGCACGATCAGCGGAGAGAAGTCTAATTAAAAGGAAGACGGGAGAATAGTGGTTTGATGCCTTAAGTGGTTTCTGTAACTCCTTGAGGGATCAAATTTTCATACTTGTTGAAGGGAACAACCTTCATGCATTCATACAATCAGTATTTGTTGCACAGCTGTGTATGACAGACAGTGTTCTAAGCAGCAGGGGAATAGAATTAACTAAGATAGACAAGGTCTTTGCTCATATTCGGGGGCGAGAGTGACAGAAGAGTGAACAAGTGAGGAAGTAGGATAATATGAAGGATTGACAAGATGGCTCCTTTTCTGTCAGAACAAGCCTCCTCTCAGGTGACATACGTTCATAAGTTCATATGTGTAGGGCAGAACTACTGATCCACACAGAAAAACTTGGTATGTTTGAAGGTACTAAAAAATAACCCCAGAGTGGCCTGAATGTTTTGGAATTGGAGAAAGCAGTGAAGTGGTAGGCAGGTGGATCATGCAAGACTTTGAATTCAACATGAGATACTTGGATTTTACTCCGAGTAGGAGGATTATTGAGTTGTTGGGGCCTGCATTCTAGGTTTAGTGTGGGACCAACTGGGGAAAAAAAAATGTGAGGTGATTTCCAGCTAACCAATATTTGAGATCCATGGCTTCAAACACCCTTCAGAAGGGTCATTATTAAGTGTCCTTTAGACGGGTACCTGATGGGCTAGAACTTTTGGTGTGGTAGATGGTATTTGTTAAAGATCCTTTTAAGTAGATAGGTTCTAAAGTTCAAAAACCCAAGTCACAAAGATTTTTGGATTATTTTGGCCAATTATAAAACCATCTTCCAGAGACTTACATAAACTATCATCTCTTCAGGAAACAGGTGTCAGCCACTAAAGCCGAAGCAGAAAAGGACGGAGTGAAGGTCCCTACGACCCTGGCGGAATACTGCATCAAAACTAAAGTGCCTTCCAATGACAACAGCTCAGATTTGCTTTATGACGACTTGTATGACGACGACATCGACGATGAAGATGAGGAGGAGGAAGATGCCGACTGTTATGATGATGACGATTCTGGAAACGAGGAGTCGTGACGTGCTCCTTCAAGGCCCCTGTACTGCCCTGCCGTCTCAGGCCAAAGGGAGGGGAGCAAGTGGGGACCTAGCAGTGGCCCCTCGGCAAAAAGCTATCACGGGGTGGGGAAAACAAACACGGCTCCTGCTGACTCCCCTTGAGGATCTCAGTTTGCTCCTTTTTATGGACCTCTTAATGGAGAGAAAGTAATCCTCCACAGAATGTCTGAATTCTTGCATTCTTTACCCTTCCATCACTGTATTGATTTTTTTTTTTTTTCCTTTCTTTAAATCCAAACTCCTGCCTCACTTCGTCTCTACAAAGCGTTCACAGCAAAACACGTTTGGTCTGTTTTTAGATTCTTGAAGAATTAGTCTTTCACCAAGACGTTTAATGTGTTTAAAGCTGGGAACCCATTGGGAGTTCACAAGTGCTGCATATGCTGGGTAGCAAAAGAAAACCACCACAAAACCCCCAGAAAACAAAACTTTTTTTTTTTTTTTTTTAAAGCAGATTTGCCAAGGTTTAGCTGCTCATTTACGTGTGTGTGCATTTGTTCAGCCCCATGGTGGTGAGTTTTGTTTCTTAAGGCTGGGGTACAGTGGGTGTCAGGGACTTTGTTCTGAACCTGATGAGACATGTTCCTAAGGGCACAGAACCGTTCAGCCTCCAGGAAGTCATCCTCACGTGGAAGAGAGGAATCAGATTGTTTTTTTGAAATTGATTGGGATCTAAAGCCTGAAATAAATATTCATACTTTACATAGAACTGATTGGTATTTATTTTGAAGGCAGAGTTATTTTTGCCCCCCAGGGAGTGGGGAGAGAGTGGGGGGATTAGCGTGAGTGTGTGGAGACTTAGTGATGGGAACAAAGATTTAAAATCACTATGCCAGTTTTGGTTGATGCTGCTGGGAGAAAGTCAAACTGCTGGTGACCACTGTTGGGAGAGAAAACATCTGTTTCATATATGTAACATGGCCTTTCCCTGAAAGATACACTCTCATGAGCATTTTTTTTAAGTAGCAAGGTTTTAATTACTCAGTATTAATACTAGGTGCATGTGTTTAAGATTTTGGTTCTCATTGAGCTGCTTATACTGATAGTGGTAACTGTGGATATATGTGAGACCTGAGTGACTGGTTCCTGCTTTGCTCACTGGATGTGACCCCGACTTCTCTCCTTTTGATGTACTCGGGCTGTGGAGTGCAAGCAGAAGTTGTGCATGGAGCTTTCCCCTGAGCTGCTTTGTCTCTTCTGGCAGGGCCAGGGGAGTTGGCTGCAGGCAGTGTCCAGGCAACGCTAGATCTTTCTGCCGCACAATTGCTGCAGCTTTGATTTCCCCTGTGCCGATGGTGTGTTACTTCAATCAATATCAAGTTCCATCAGCCTTCACCAACCAGGGACTTCTGTACGTGGCGATGATTTTTGTTTCTTGTGGGGGCGGGCCAGTGCATAAGAGGGCAGTGTTCTTTCAGTGGGAAAAATACCGCTATAAACTTACTTCAGATCCCTGTGCGCTAGCATCAACTCCTTTTCTTCAGATCGTACAGCTCAGAAAGAACGAAAGGGTTGATGAGGGACAGGGGTAGGATGGATCCTAGGACAGAGTAAGTGATGCTTAGGTCCTTAGTTCCTCCTTCCTTTCTGATCTCAGGGTTTTCATTCGCTCTTCAGACTCTCCAAACATTTGCTGACTGATTCCCAGCAGTCCTCTTTAGAATCTTAGGTTTGGTCTAGTATTAAATCGGGAATGTTAAACTTGCTAAGGTTCATATGGGACAATGTTGAGCCTGGTCCCAGAATCTGTCCAAACTCCATGGGGCTACCTGCACCTCTGAATCAACAACTGTGGTAAGATTCAGAAAACAAAGCAGCTCTCCTGTGATGTAACAGTGATGTTGAAACTAGCTTTTTATGCCCCACATGTACTCTCATCCTCCACTACTAGATAAACACACCCCACGTTTACAGCCAGTAGCTTGGTCTTACTCTTGGAACCCTAAAACGAAGCCTTTCCCCTTCCTGCTGAAGCATTTCTCTCCCAGGGCAGGCCAGACACTTTGGCATTGTGGGAGGTGCTGTCCCATTAGGCCCTGTGGCCTCTGTTGCACATTGACTCAGGGAGCCAAAGAGCCAGGTGGAGGCTGTACCTCTCAGCCCTTTGGGGTTTTACTTTTGAGGGCTAGGTTTGCCTCTGATGAGAGTACAATCAATTCCAGAAAAGACTGGGGTGTGTGTTGATTTGCTAGAATTGCTAGAAGGTGGATGTTCGGATAGCTCTGACTTGTAAAAACCCAGGCTGGTTCCAGAGCTCTGTCCTGAGGACACAAACCACAGGAGACCTTGAGCACGTGATTGCTTTTGGGAGTGGAGATCTTAGGCTCAGGCCACAACCTTGTGAGCACAGTTGTGCTGTTTGGTGCAACATGAATTCAGAAACCACCCTGCAAATTTGCGGTTCCTTCAGATTCTAGCAGAGGCCTCTGGATGCTCTTCAGGTCTGTGTATCTGAGGCTGGGTGGACAAAGTGTATCATCGTGATTTTGTTGTTGCTTCTCACAGTCTTCCCCACTTTCATTTCACATCATTCCAGAGTTCTTTTGTTAGCCAAACTTTTGTAGTCCCTTCTTCTTTCCCGGTAATTACTTGCTTCTTTATTTGCTGGTTTCCTTATGTTTGGAAAATACATAGTAAGTGATTGAAGGGGAAAATGTGTAGTTCTCCACTGAAAATTAACCCTCCACCCCACCCCACCCCACCCCCATCCTGATTTTAAAAAAAAGGTTTACATTTACAAAGATTCAGATGCAATTTTCAACTCTTCTGAAACCAGCAGGACACACCTGACTTTAATAGTTTTCTTAGCTGAAATTGTAGATGTTTTTCTTCAGTTTAACTTATGAGAAGATTATCTGATGCATTTTGTGTTCAACTTCCCCTTTAGTGGTTTATTTTTGTCTTTTTCTGCCCATCTGTCTACTAATAAAATGTGAAATAAAATATACCTGTATTGCTACTTCCCCATGGAATGACCCTTTTCTTTTTTGTGTGTTAAAAGGTGGTCTTAATACTTCCTATGTTCCCAGATTATACACAGGACTCAGCTGAAGAATTAAAAAAACAAATCCTTACCAGTTTAAGAAAGGTTACTAAAGACAAAGCCACTTGTTAACCTTAATTCTGAAATAGGGCACAATCTGCTGGTACAAGTAGGTCAGTGGACTGATGGGCGGGTGCGCCACTGCCCTCCTTAGGCAAGTGTTTTGTTTTTCTTGTCACTTAACTTCCTGCTGTTAAATCAATGATTAATGAGGCAATAGGTGCCATGATGGTTAAGTTGTGGACACTTAACCTTTTTTTAAGCCAGCCAGCAGCGCTCAACGTATCTGATGAATGACCGTAGATTTTAGAGGTCAAAAGCAGCGAAAATGAGGGCTGTGCCCCTGGGCTGGTTCTGTCCAGCATGTTGACCTGAAACGAGAGGCTATGATGTAATGCTCTGGGCAACACCTCAGGGCCCTGAACTAGCTGCCAGGTTGAACTACATCTGTGCCTGACAAGCATGGAGATTTGCCTCCTGGCAAGACACATGGATAGTTTTATGGCCCTAGTTCCTTCTGCCCTGGTGGCCTGGAATCAAGAGGGAGGAGCTTAAGGGAAGTCAGAATCCTGGCCTCAGATGAATAGTTCCTTGGGACCTTCTAGAGCAATTTAGCCCTGGACCCACTTACCTACTTCATAGCACCTTGACTCACGTTACAGCTATCAGTTAAGATGGCATTTGGCTGATGAAAAGCAAAGGACAGAGAGTTTAACTATTCAAACTTAAACTCTCTCACAGGCCTAGAACTGTGTTCTCAGCTCTTACTTTGGTTGGAAAAGAAATTACCCTGCTTGCCCCCTAAGTCTGTTACAGAGCTGGAAGAAAAGCAAAGGTAATGGACAATGTCTGTGCGATGTCAGGGGGGGTTAGCTACCTTGTCAGCTGTATCCTTTACCTTTCCTGTCTCCCTGGATGCTGACTGGGGGCAAGAGAAGGGCCCAGCAAAACAAAGAATACCCAAATACCCACTGAAGCCCTGATGACCTATAACCAGAAGACATGAGTTATGCTTCAACCCTGTGAAGTCCCGAGTACCTGGCACTGTAATGAAGACACCTCTGCCCTAAGCCCTCCTTCAGTCACACCATAAAGAGACCAAGCATGCTCTCAGAACTTTATTAGGTGGAGTTTGGGCAAAAGAGAAAACCTCCGAAATAGTCACCCTCCTGGTTCAGGACAACTGGAATAGAGGAGCCTTTGCTGAAGATGTGCTCTCACTGAAATGAAAGCATATCTGATTTTTTTTTAAAGGGGGGAGCTGACTGGCTGAATATCTTAGCGCAAATTCAGAATTAGAATGGTCAGCCAGAGGAAGGCAAGTCTGGGGACAAGACCAGACGCCTCTGCTCTCTATGGAGACAAACAGGTGCCACTTTCGTGTTGGGTGGGGGGTGTATCTCTGCTATTCCCAGATCAAGATTTGGAGGGAGGGGAACATGACAAATGACAAAAAGACCAGTTTCTCAAAAAGTAATTACACAGGGATGGAAACTCAAATAACGGTTTACAAGGGGGCGAGATAAGTCGTGATTCTTCATTGGTACCTGACCCTGGTACCCCAACTGCCCTAAGGCAGCCCCTCCAGCACTGCCAGTGCAGGCAGCTATGGAGAAGGCCTGAGGCAGAGGGGAGGGGGGCTTCAGTGGGGAGAGTAGCAGCTGCTCCCCAGTCCCCCAAGACTTGGATCACATTTACAAATACATACATAAATACATTACATACAACAGCGAGTCTGGGAGGCAGGCTCCCCCACAGAGGCTCGGCTGACACAGTTACATGTCTCAGGAATTCTAGGAAAGGGCGCCGGGCTCCCAGAGAAATGGGCTCCATGTGTTTTCTCCTGCCCAGGGGAAGCCCACCCAGCCCACCCCGCTTCAGGGTTCAGTTTGTCCAGTATGGAGAGTTGCCGTAGGCAGGTTTGGAGGGTTGCGACTTGGGCTGCAGTGAGCTGGGCTGGTTGCGCTGACTGGAACCGCTCTGAGGAGGAGAGAAGGCGGTCAAGGCTGGAGCGGACCATCACCCCCCACCTGGGTGCGCAGGGCCAGGCGGCTGCCACCTCCACCAGCTCACCTGAGCGTCCTGCGGGAGGTGGTGGTGCAGCAGCTGCGAGGGAGGCTGCTGGTGGGCGGGCAGGATGTGCAGGAACGGTGGGGGCGCGTACCCGGGCGCCGCTCCAGGGCCCAAGGGCCCAGTGGAGCCCAAGGCCGAGGGCAGGCTGAATGGGGGTGGAGTCCCTGCATGGAATCCCTGCTTGTCAAACGTCTGCAGGGCAGAGAGATGACAGTGAGGGCTGGCTGGGTGGCACCTGCCCCAGCCTGGCCCCCCAGCGCCAGGCCTCCCTCACCTGAGTCTTGTTGTAGACAGACCCAGTCATATCAGGGAGGCCAGAGGTGCTCGAAGTCCCCGACACTCCTGGAAGGAAAAGTGGCGGGCAGTTCCCACAGCAGCCGGGCCCAGCTCTGGTCTCCCCCACCTCCAGGGGCCCTCTGGGGTGGCCTCGCCTGAGAAGGAGTCAGGGTGGGAGACAACTGCTCTGGGCCTCAATCCTGGACGGAAGGGGGTGAGGCTACCTTTGCCAGGCCCAGAGCCTGCAGCCTTGTTCTGCGTCTGGGATGATCCACCATAGCCACCCTTGCTGTAGTCTCCCGCTGCGGTGCCCGGGGTCAGGTCGTCATAACCTAGCGTGGAGGGGACCAGAGGCGCGTGAGCGTGGTGAGCCAGGCCTGCCCGCGCCTCTCCGGGCGGGGAGCACCCCTCACCGGTGCTGTAGCTGTGCTGGCCGTATCCGCTGGCCTGCTGGAAGGGCGTGGCGCCAGTGCTGAGGCTCACCCCGTGCTGCTTGGCTGAGGCCGGGGGCACCTGGGGAGGGTCAAGCAGGACAGGCCTTAGTGCAGAGGAGAGCAAGGGCAGCAGGCGGCACCACCACCAATGCCACGCCCGCCAGGTCTCCAAGCAGGTGACACAGGAACCTCACCCCCAGCCTGGACCCACTCTCAAGGTCGGTGAGCCTGAGTGGGGTCCTGCCTGCCTGCTGCCCCCGGAGCAGGAGGCCAGCCCCCTGGTACTCACAAACATGGCGGGCCCGTACTGGAAGGCACCGGGCAGGCCCGTGTAGTAGGGGAGGCCGGTGTAGCTGTAGCCGGGCGGCAGGGCGGGGTTCAGGAAGGGCTGCTGAGCCGCATGGTGGGCCTGGGACTGGCTCTGCTGGGGCTGAGCCAGGGTGGTGGGTGGTGCGGGGGACGCAGAGTCACCTCGGCCGAACTTGGTGACATCACCTAGGGGAACAGGGGCACTGATGCAGTCCCCACCCCTCATCCCAGCAGGAGAAAAAGTCAGGCCCCTGCAGATAGAACAGGGCTGGCTGCTGGCTCAACAACAGGAAGCTGGCAGGTCTCTGCAGCCCTTCCGTTTGCTTCCAGGCTCCTAGGATGGGCCACAGGCCAGTCCTTTGAGCAGCCCCTACTCCTAACCCCCTGAAGACTAACCTGAATATGGGTTACTGGTGAGGCTCCCATCTCGACTGGCAAGGGCTGGGGGTGTAGCGAAAGGGATCCCATAGTAATCCTAGGAGAGACCAGAGACTCGGTCAGTGGAATGGCCTCACCCACTCCTAGGACAGAGGCCCCGCAGGCAGCTGGGTGCTCCGGGGAAGGCCACATTCCTGACTGGGCTGTGGGACTCACAGGCCCACCACCAGAGGGCAGCACTCAGAAAATTCAAAGCGCACGGCGCGCTTCCGAGTTGTGGCCGCCACACGGCACGCAGACGCACAGAGCGACCCCTCAGCCTCCCCCGGCAGAGCCACGGGGTCCCAGTCGCACAAGGATCCTGGGCTCAAGATGCTATGGATTTCTTGGGAGACTGCCTGGCAGTGAAACCAAAGTGGATCCAGAGGAGGGTGTGGGTGCTTTTCCGGGACACTGCTGCCCACGAGGAAAGCAGGAGGGCTTTCCCTAGGCTCAGAGGCCCCAGGTTAGGACTGGCAAAGCCCTGGGTGGTAAGGGTCAGGGCAGACCCCTTCTCCACAGGGCCCCGCTGTGTCTCACCTCCGCGCACACACTTCTCCCAGCTCTTGTGCAGTGTCAGGGCTGTCAGGGTAGAGGGCTGGTCTCTCCTAGCTCAGGACTGACATGCGCCTGCATGTAACTGCTGCCCTGACCTGTTAAAGCCTTGAGGATCCTCCTCCTCAGGTTTCTACTTGTCCAGGTAACTTTCCTGGCTGCCCCTTAGACTCCCTCTCACTGGAGAAGGCACTGGAATTCATTTGGCCCATGACCCTCACCAGCATCCACCTGTGACATAAAATGCACGAGAGGAGGGGAGCTAGGAAAGCACAGCTGGTAGGATTCAAATGGGGACGGGCCCGCAGGAAACCCAGGAGGGGTGCTCTTTCACGGGAGAAAACCCAGAAGTGGGAACGAGCACAAACGTACCAGAGGCTAGGAAATGACCACAGGGGAAAATGAAAGAAATCTCTGTCTCAAGAGATAGGCTCACAAGTGACTTCTTCTAACGCACAAAAAGATGAACGGAGTATGAAGCAGGACGGCCCCCGGGCCTGGAATCCCACCAGGTCACTCTGAGGGCCCGACCAGCACCACACACAGACTCGTCTTTCAGAACCAGCTCCCACGTTCCATCCCTGAGGCCCTGGGTGCCAGGACGACTCAGGCCACGTTTCCTGGGTTCCCTGCAAAGCCCTAGGGCTTAAGGCAGCCCCAGAAACTCTGAGTTCTGTTTTACACCATAGAAATCCGCCAGTACATCCTCAATACCTTTCTGGGCCCTCGGGGATGTGGGCAGAAAGCCCCACAGGCCCTCGGGCAGTAGTGTGGGTTTGCAGTGCCTGCTGGTTTGCACACTGGGGAGGAGCAGCCCAGCTACAAGCCTCTGGAAATACTCCAGCAGATGAAACAGTCTCCCAAGAGAAACAAGCTTCAGCCACTGGGCTCTCTGTGGTCAGCCCAGAGCGGGCAACACTACCTGTGGAGGCCACCACGCTGCCCTGCACGAGTGTCGGGGCTGCGGGGGGGGTGGGGGTGTTCCACTCCAGTCTTCAGTCTGACGAAGGATACCTCACCTTCACTTGGGGAAAAGGAAAGCCCGTGCCCAACCGAGCTGACATCAGTGTCCAAATAGCTATTACTCCCTGACAATGTGACAGATGCCCCAGACTGCTGAAAATGATTAGGAGTCTGCTAAACAGCAGACTGAGAAGGGAGCGGCACGACAAGAGCATGCAGGCTGCCCAGACAGGGCGCATGCCTCCGTGTGTCCTGCTCCTGCACTGTGTCCTGTTCACGCGGCCATCCCAGAGAAGGCCCAGTGCCTCATCCTGGGAGTAAGGGCCGAAACGGACAGGCAACACTGACCTCAGAGTGAGGCTGCAGCAATCAGAGGTTCCAGGGCCAGCAATCTTACAAACAGATGGCAGGCTAAACCCGGAAGGGCCCTTTAGGACCGTCTGCTCCAGCCACTCACTCCAAAGAACAACACTGCCGTCACCAATGGCCACTTCAGAAGCTAGACACTAGACGGCACTTTTAAGGACAGGACTTAATAAAAAGCCTAGGGGCAGGCAAGTAACCCCATGTCCTGGTCGATTGTTTTGTTTTTGAATGGGGGTAAGTTTAAGGAAAGAGAAGGACCCACATTTGCTAGAGGCACTGCCTCCCGGGGCCCCAGGTCCCAAAGAACTTCAAGGTTCCCAGGCTATAGCCTCACCAGGCAGCACCATCACAGCAGCTTTCCCCGCTGCAGTGCTGAGAGAGTCCTCAGGCGAGATGTCCTGAAGGCCAGACAGTGGGTGGGAAGCGTGAGACCAACAGCCTGAAGCCCCCCAGCCTCTCCCAAACCCCACTCACCATTGGCAGCCGTGACTGCAGCATCTGGAGCTCGTCATAGCCATAAATCTGCATGAGGACACAAAAGCTGTCAGAGACCACACGCCACCCCTGGGGAGCCCAGGCCCACATGGGGCCAAAACAAGGCAGGCGCGGAGGACACGTGCAGCAGGAGATGGGGCTGAGCCGCTGTGGGCAGACGCCCCACCTTGACTGAGTGCAGCTGGAGAAAGGCCCAGGGTCTGAGGGCAGAGCTGGCCTCAGGGGTAGCAGAGGCAACTCAAGACCCCCCCCCCCCCGAGGCCAGCTGGGCTGAGGGGAGCCGGGTGGCCAGGAGCCCTGGGTGTGCTCACCGGGTAGGCAGGAAGCAGTCCTCCGGGGCCCACGAGGTACTGGTTGTGCAGCAGGGGAGGCACCCCCTGGGGCAGGTTGGGGGGTGCTTTGCCTGGAGAGGCAAAAATCAAATCGAGTGACGTGGCCCCCACACGAGTACAATTCCTCAGCTACGGGGGCTTAGCAGAACGCAGCAGATCGGGCAGCCCCAGGACAGGGAAAGGCTGGACCGCAGCGGGTAAGCTCCTAGGAAACCACAGTCGGCTGGGCCCACACAGCCTGCCCAGGTCTGGCTGATGGGCAGTCACACGAAGTGACCAGGAGCAGCCCAAGAGAGCTGCCCTGTCACTGCGGCTGCAGGGATGAGTGAGGACAGGAAAGAATGGGGCGCTCCAAGCAGAAAGGCTGCCGGGAATCCTGCCCAGGTAGCATCCTCCCCTGCAAAACTGATTTCACCACCAGCCAGGATCTGGCCCCCACCCCAATCCCAGCTCTGGAAGAACCAGGCCTCAGGAGGTCAGTGGGACAGAGGACAAGCCCGCAGGGGCGGAGCCGGACGGAGCTGTGGGTGTTCAGTTCCTGTGAACCCCCAGGCCTACCCACCGGGGCCGCCTCCCAGGAAGCCAGGCTACACTCTTGATTGGGGGAGGGGGCTGGCCAGGCCATGGGGACACACCTGAGGTCATCAAAGGTGCAGCCCTGGCACTGCTGCTGGGGGCACTCCCGGGGGCACTGCCCAGGCACAGGCTGTTGACTGTGTTCATGCCGCTCGGCAAGCTGAGCCCTGAGGACACGGCGCCCGAGGCGGAAGTTGCTGCCGTTGAGAAGGTGGCCGAGGGCTGGAGGGAAGGGGCACTGTCCACGCTGGCATGCTGGCAAAACAGAAAAGCCAGGGCACATGGATCTAGGAGCAGAGCAAAGAATGCACGAGGACTGGCCTGGGCTGTGGGCCCATGGCCTCAGGCTGACCTGTGTGCTCGCCCTGGCCCCTCACTGCAGCCACAGGTTCACAACTGGTCAGCTGAGTATCAAGACCACCACAACAGATTTATCACCAAAAATCCTGCTGAAAATCGCTCAAGTTGCTCATGCTCTGGTAACTGAAACAGGCACAGAGATCTCAAGTAAAGCTTAGTTCACAGATGAACACAAAGAATCTCAATAGGAGGTGAAAACCCACCTCATAAAATAGCAGAAGAGTGGAGCCCAGGGCCATGGCAGCCCAGCCCAAGGCAGGGCCTCCTGGACACCTCTGACCTGAAGCCGCAGGCGGCCTTTGCTCCAGCATGTGAGGATATTCTGTAGGTCCTCGGGGTCTACACCAAGAAGGGCACTGCCCGGCCCTACGCCTGCCCGAGAAGAGCCACCAAGGAAAGAAGGTCAAAGCCCAGCAGAAAGCTTTGAAGAGCCTGAGCGCCAAGGGCACCACCCAGCTGCCAGTACCAAGGTGGCAAGAAGGGTAGATACAGATGGTTGGGCAAAGTGAGGGCTGAAGAAAGAAGAAAAGGCTCTGCAAGACTGAACGTGTGCGGCACGGAGAAGCTGGGAAACTGAGGAGAAGCTGACCAGGAAAGGCCAGGAGGGACACCGTGCGCCGTCCTCCACAGCCCGGACGGCTGTGCAGGTCCCAGCCCCACAGGATGCCCTGCCCGCCCAGGCATGAGCAACCAGATCCGGTTCAGCAAGAGCAGACTCTGAAAATTCTGGTCTCCCGGGGTTCCCCAGGACTCCTGCCCCTTCTACCGAGATGGGAGAGACAGACCAGCGAGAGAAGGGCCCAGAGTGGGGCTGAGGCTGCCCACTACCCAAACTTCACGACCCTCCGCACAGAGGCCAGCTTCCACCCAAGGACGTCAGCCACAGAGTCAGAGACAGCTCTGACCACGCACTGCGATGTCGCCGGCCACCCAACCTTTCAACCACAGGGTTAAGAAAAAAAAAAAAAACTGCAGTGTGGGGAGTGGGGGGAATCCACAGGCACTCAGGAGTCATCCAGAGAGCCTCTCCTGCCTCGAGTGGGCCCTGAAAGGGTCCCTGAATCTGCCCTTCCACCTCTCGAATCTGTGGAGAAGACAAGCTGCTGGCCCGCTCAGTCCATGTGATGGGGCCGTCACTCAGCTCTCCAGACGGGCCCAGGAGAGCACAGTTGACCACACCTTCCACAGACCACAAGGGGCAGGAGAGAAGACGAGATCCTTTACAAAGTGGGAGAGACCTGGCTCTGACAGATTATGATGTACCTGACTATTTAAAAATCAAAACTATTTCTAAAACAACAGACCTAGGAAAAATATTTGCACTTCCCATCACAAAGGGCTACTTAGTAGTCTCCCAAATACAGAAATAAATACCACAGACTGGACAGAAAAATGTAAACATCTCAGCCAAAAGGAAATTTAATGGTTTACCAATGTATAAAATAGATTCAAGCTCTTTTAGTTAAACACTATACTGACAGGTCATTTTTCTATTAACACATTAGAAAAATACAAATATTTGGTAACATCATTTCAGGAGGCAGTGGGGAAAGAGGACACTTCACTGTTTGCCAATGAGAGGTAAGGCGGCTGAAATCACTACACAGAGTCACGTGTGTAACAGGACATGTGTGTAAAAGGACATGTGTGTAACAGGAGTCTATCCTGCAGACACAGCATGTGCAGGCTGTACACCACTGTTTGCACAGGTACATCTCACGTGCGTGTGCTTTGCAGATGCTGCATTTCCTACAAAGTGAAGGTCCAAGGCAACTGGGGGTCAAGCAAGTCTCCTGGTGCCAATTTTCCAACAGCACCGGCTTCTTTTCGTCTCTGTGTCACATTTTGGTAATTCTCACAATATTTCAAAACTTTTTATAACATTTGTTATGATCATTAGTGACCTCTGATGTTACAAATGCAAAAAGATTACACCCTGCTCGAAGGCTCAGGTGATGGCCAGCATTTTTAGCTGATGTATTTATTAACTAAGATACATATATTGGGGGACTTCCCTGACAGTCTGCTGGTGAAAACCCCATGCTTCCACTGCAGGGGCCCTGGGTTGGATCCCTGGTTGGGAAATTAAGATCCTGCATGCCACACAGCGAGGCAAAAAAGAAAAAAAGATAGATATGTTATATTTTTTAGACATAATGTTATTGCACACGTAATAGATAAGAGTGTGAACAAAACTTCCATGCACTAAAAAATCAAAAGATTTCTGTGACCGACTCCCCCACATTATTCACTTTATAGAAGTGGTCTAGAACCAAACCCACAGTATTACTGGAATATCAAAACTGAAAATGGCCCTCAAGTTCCATCAGAGGAGGACTACTAAATAATGCAATGCAGTGAAAAAAGAACAAAGAACTCTGATCCAACACAAACCTCCTAAAGATACACTGTTGAGTGACGGGGAAAGATATAAAGATACAGGAAACTGCAGAACATTCCCATTTACATCACAGGACAAGGAAAAGAGCAGAAAGGAAAATGACTGTGTATGCGTTTGATAGTTTAAGAAAACAAACTCTAGAAGATCAAGAAGATAACAGGAAAAGGGGCAAACAAAGCAGAAAAGAGACAAAAGCTCTCAGTGTGCCTTTTTACGTCTTTCGTTTTCGAGTCCTGTGACAGAGACGGCCTTAGCAACTGCACGAGGCAATTCTGGCTGTGGCCGCTGGGACTGCATGACAGTCCCCTGCTAAGACGCAGAGTGCAGCCAAGTGTGAGAGCGACAGCACCCACGATGGGAAGCCAGCGCTCCAGGGCTCACAGAGAGACACCCCAGGACGCAAGGCACAGGTGATGGGCAGGCAGCTTGCTCCAAGGACAGAGACAGTCACACCAATCTCTGCTAGGAAGACAGTGATCTATGCGTTTCAAGCAAAGAATTATGTATAAACCAATTTCACTTAAGACAGAATAGGAATGCCACAATGTTGGCCAGATACTGATGAAAGACAGGACTGAACCTTTTCCACCACTTCATTCGACAGCAAAAGATTTGACTTCTTCTTCAGAAGAAACTACTTTGCCAATTTCCCAACTTCCCCATTCACCTGGGCCCAAAACTTCGCTCCCTGCTTGAAGACCACCTACTCCCACCTTGTGGAAGCCTGCTGTCTCCTGGGAGGGGGGCACTTGGTTCTTTCCTGGCACCTTTCCTTCCGTGTTCCAGTCTCTCCCAGCTTTTGGAACTGTCTCCTCCCCTATGCTGCCTCATCCCAGTCAAGGAGCCTTGACACCGTGCTCCTAGCTGCTCCGCTTAGATGCCGAGACTTCAGTAACCACAATCTAGGGTCACCCTTGAACACGTCAGGACGTCCTCAGCTGGCACCCCATCTGCACTTCTTGACTCTCCACACTCCACACATGCTTCTGCAACAGGACCTTCCCAAAGGCCCCACCGGTGAGCTGGCGGGAGTGAAGGACCCATGACCACACACACTGGATGCGGCAACACTGGCTGGACCATCTGTCCGTCTCAGAGACACACAGACTCTTCCTCTCCCTTCACAAACTCTCCCTACAATGGACTTCACAAAGTACCAGAGTCTTCTCCAGAAGCACTGCTCTTGATAAAACTGGACTTTTAGCAGAGCCCCGTCCACAGGGTCTCAGAGTCGGACATGACTGAGAAAACACGTAACAGATGCCAAGCAGAAGTTAGCGACAAGTCGACTTTCCTCTAAAAAGCTTGCAAAGACCCCAACACAAGAAGCCCCAGAAAATAAAACCAACCCTGCCAGGCAGAAAGGTCTCCTAGAATGAACAGTGAATTCTGGGGAACAAATTCACCACCTGACAGCCCTGCCCATCATATCAGGTCTGGAGAACCAATTTCACTACAGAGGCATGAACCACATGTCCTCTGTGGGGCCTGGGAAATCATCCATTCAAACCATGAACCTAGATGAGACATCACAGCCAGGTGATTAGAGTATCCGGATATTCAGATTCACAAACTACAGCCGCCCTCCACCCTGCCCATGCCTAGGCCCCAAGCCAGCTGAGGGGCTGGGTGGGGGAGCAGGGAACACTTACTGTGTGGGATGTGCTGGCAGAGAGCGGCGTGTGAGTGGAGGCGAGGCTGCTCTGGTGGCTGGAGAGGGAGCTGGAAGACAAGACAGCACCACGTGTCCACCACGGCCCCCCATACCAGGGGCCACTCGGCAGGCAGGCTATCCATGAGCTCGCCTTGTCCCACCATGGGAAGGCCTGGCTGGACACCCTTCATTCCGCATCACCTGGGACAGGTGTTCTGTGGTTAGAAATGACCTAAAGGCTTGCTCACTCGCCATGAGGATCCAGGACATCCTTCCCTGGGAACCTACAGAGCCTGCTTCAGGCAGCTCTAACCATCTGCTCTGAGACTGTAAATGGTAAGAATAGGATTGTACTAAGAACAGTCAGCCTTGGAGATCCCCTTAAATCTGTGTGTGTGGAAAGAAAGTTCCTAAGTCAGCCCCACACACCAGAGCTTGAATGCCCATCAAATGCAGAATTCAAGAAGCCTGGCTTCTGCTCCAGGCTACATGAGGCAAGAGAACCCTGCTCAGAAGGTCGGTGAGGACCTGCCAGTCCAGTCCTCCCACGCCGGTGCTGATCACTCATCTCGGAACCCACAGCAACTGCCACACAAGAGACCTGCTCAGAAACCCCCCAGCACTCTCACCCCACATCACAGGGATGGGGCCCAGAATGTGGGGCAGGGGAGAGGCACGGGGCCCCCTCCTGAGGGCTAAAGAGGAGCAGAAGCAACCCCCTGACTCCACCCCACTCCCAAGGACCCAGGGCCGTGTGCCAGCAGAGCGTTACAGGTGGCAAGGCTTTCACCCCCGGCGCCCGAGACCCCACCCCTGCCACACGGCACTGCTGCGGAAGGCCGGACGAAGGCAGGGGCAGTGTGGGCTCTGCCCGTGGGCACAGCCATCTGGAAGCTTCAGGACTTGGCCTTGGTGCCTCGGACTCTGGGTCCCTGTTGTCCCCATACCTGCTGAGCTGAGAGAGGGGACTGCTGGACAGGTCCCCGGGCTGGGACAGGGAGGGCAGAGTGGCAGTGTGCTGGGATGCAGGGGGCAGAAGCGGAGCGCAGGAGGTGGTGCTGGGCAAGGAGGCCACAGACGGGAGGGCAGAAGGAGGGTCTGTTGTCTTTGGAGCTGGAACGGATGAAGTAGCTGTAAGAAACAGATCAGTTTAGCTCCAGAAACCAACCGTGGTATCGGAGAAATGTTTTGTGACAGGCTGGCTGGGCTGAGACACAGACAGTGACACCCCAGGGGACGATGCATGAGCAGGCTGCAGGCAGGCCCCGCCCTGTCTGCCGTTGAGGGTGGGAAGGGCGGTCGGAACACAGGCCCCAGGCAAGGAGGGAGCTCCATTTTTACCACCACACGCAGCCCTGATGTGGGGCTCAAATCCTCCCGACTAAAGGAACCTGATCCTTAGCTGCACCCAGACATGGAAAGAGGCTCAGAGACTGACAAATACGGTCACAACATGAACTCAACAAAGGACAGTGGCCACGTAGTGGGGGAACCACCCAGGGGTTAGGTCTGCTTCTATCAAACGGGCATCACAGCAGGCTGACCTCAGGAAAGCTCACCACCAGTAGAGGGGAAGAAGGGGCTGAGAGCCCTCCCCCGGGTACATACAACGGAGGAGAACACACACCTGAAACCCGAGGAAGACCCCCTGCCCTCCACAGCTGCTTCCAAAGGCGAGCATCTTTGCACACACTTCAATAGAACAGACCTCAGAGCACATAAACGCATACATCAGGCTTTCAGAAGAATAAGAATGCAATCAATCCCAGTTGCAGAAAAGACTCAGTTTTAGTGCCATCCACACATACAACTCAGACATGTGCTTGGAAGTAAAGCATCATTGCCTTCTGCAGTTAGGAGGGGGCAGCACCTTGCTTCAGGAGGCCCTGAGAGTCCAGGGGACATGAGCTAGTCCCCGAAAGGGAGGACAGCTCAACAGCCAGCACAGGCAGTGACAGGGCCACACGACCACAGCCAGGTCTGAGAGTGGTCCTCACACCCGAGGCTCTTCACTGACAGGCCTTCCCAAACGGCGCCCGCTCTTCCAGAAATCAGATAAAGACACCACACATGTCCCTGGCCCAAAACTCACCTCCCTGGGTGCTGGATCACATCAATGACAGGTTCATAGAAAGTGTGTGCTGAGTGTGTTTGTGTGTGTATGTGTGTGTGAGAGAGAGAGAAAGAGAGAGATGGTTGGAGAAGAGCCCATGGGAGATAAAAACCTATCAAAAATGCACACTGTTTTATGGACATCTCACATCTCATTATCTCACTTGAAATCTCCAAATAAAATCTCTTAGTAAACCTCTGTGTGTTCTCGACCCCACACCTGGGCCAAAGAAACTTTCCACCACAGATTGAGGAATTCACACTTCCTGTGACATCTAGTGTTCTCAGAGGTACCAACGTTACCTGCTGCTCTGGCGGTCCCTCAACACCAAATCCAACTCTGGGTAAATCAACGTGTCATTTCAATTCCAACTGAGGCCCATTCCTGGTCTGGCAAAATTCCACAGCCACACTCCCCAAAATTTCTAAATAAAAAGAGGGTTTTTCTGGCTTCCATAGCCAATAGATATCCATTTGCTTCACTGAATGATCAATGAAAATCGGTTTCATTTTAGATTATGACCATAATCATTGATAAACTAGCCAAGAACAAAGGGAACAAGTAATGGGAATTCACCTACACTAACTCCAGTGATCACTGAGCTGTACTGATTTGGTGGGCTCTCCCTCCATCTCTCCTAAGGATTTATAGTGAGCAACATCTTCTCTCTCTCCTGAACCAGCATGCCAATTTCTGCTTTAAACATCTTTCACATTACTGAAGTGAAAGCCCTCTTAAACTTTCTGGAATCTGGGCCTCTGAGAAAAGCATATTTTAAATCCAACCTACATTCCACTTGGGATGCAGTCTTAAGACAGCACAATGATGCAAGACCCCCTTCTTGCTGTAGATATAATACCATCTAGTAATACCATCACCTACCATCTGGTCACAGGGCCTCTCTAGCTTAACTCTAGTATATGTGCTGCCGAAGCAAGCACATCTAGCTTAACTCTAAACTGAAAGAAATGTTGCCAATGATGAGTCAGAGGTAGCTATCAGAAAAGATGGAAAAGGACTACTTTTGCAGAATTAGCCATTGGCCAATCGTTTTCCCCACCACATCAGCTATGCTCTTTTTCTGTCTGTGGTTTCCACCAGCCACAACAAGAATAGTTAGCTCATATACTTACTGTCTACTGTCTGCTGACTTCGACTACCACCATGTCCATTCTATAAGAAAGAGAAAATAAAGTAAGTAAACCCTCCATCAAATGACAACCTAGGTTGGGATTGAGCCACAAACATATGAAGATTATGAATTAAGCAAAGAACTATGACCTGTTTTGTTTCTTAAGAAAAGGAGAGGCAATACAACAAATTCTTAATAAATCCCAGCAAGCTGACCTTATTTACACCAAACTGGTTATTTAAGGAAGTAATAAGAATAAAAAATAAGACCAAGAGCACAGGAAGCAATGAAACAGTCCTAAAAATTATTAAGCTGTAGGCAGGACTTGGGAACTCTCACTATACTGAAATCACCATAAGCCTTTCTGTCTCACAGACATATTCTGTCTCCTGAGTACCCCACATACTAGAAAGTGTTTCCAAATTATAATGAAGATAACTTTCATGCAAGGAATTATCATATTTTATATCATTCAATTGGTCTGAGTTAACCATCAAGCACTTCCCTAGAACCTTCAAACAGAAGGAGGCATCCTCACAGAGAAAACTTTACTTCCACAGATGGGGTGTGGAGACCTGGCAGAGAGATTGAGGGCTTCACTGCTGGCTCAGTGGTAAAGAGCCACTCCTGCCAAGGCAGGGATACAGGTTTGAGTTGATCCAGGAAGATCCCACATGCAGTAGAGCAACTAAGCCTGTGTGCTCCATCTCCTGAGCCTACAGGGCTCAGACAGGCTCTGGATGGGACAAGGAAGTGGAGGAGATGATCCCAGAACAGAAATTCAGTGCACTTTCTTTCCATAAAATCCTATATACAACACAGTTTATTCTTAAAACAATTTGAGACTATTTATAAGAAATGTAGGCAATAAAACAGAACTGCTAGGGAAAAACAAAGCAGAACAAGAGCTAGACGACTCCGAGAAGAGAAAATCAGCACAAAGGGCACACGGAGAGCAATCAGAGTTCTGCTCTTTGCCTCCCTCCCAACGATGGTTCACTCTTCGGTAAATATACACACAGGACATTAAGCAAATGCCTCCAAGACAGCACAAAACCGACATACAAAGTCTCCTCAAAACTATACCAGAGCTTCTCTAGTGGCTCAGTGGTAAAGAATCCACCTGTCAATGCAGGAAACATGAGTTCAATCCCTGATCCAGGAAGATCCCACATACCCTGGAGCAACCAACCCCATACACCACAACTATTAAGCCTGTGCTCTAGAGCCCGAGAGCCACAACTACTGAAGTCCCCATGCCTTAGAGCCTATGCCCTGCAACAAGACAAAGCACCATGATGAGAAAATGGTACACCACAACTAGAGAAAAGTCCCTGAAGCAAGGAAGACCCAGAGAGCCAAACAAAAAAAAAAACCTCACTAGAGAAAAAGAGAGGAAAAGAGGAATGAAACAGCTGTCATCACAGCTTAGGAACACTTCATTTTACCTAGAAAATCATTCTTAAAATACAAATACTGGACCATATGTAAAAATAGATAGCCATTGGGAATCTGCTGTATGATGCAGGAAGCTCAAACTGCTGCTCTGTGACAACTTAGAGGGGTGGGATGGGGTAGGAGGTGGGAGAGAGGTTCAAGAGGGAGATGATATATGTGTATGCAAAAGTGAAAATGTTAGTCGTTCAGTCGTGTCCAACTCTTTGCAGCCCCATGGACTGTGCAGCCCTCCAGGCTTCTCTGTCCATCGAGTTCTCCAAGCAAGAATACTGGAGTGGGGTGCCATTCCCTTCTCCAGAGGATCTTCCCCACCCAGAGACTAAATGTGGGTCTCCTGCACTGCAGGCAGATTCTTTCCATCTGAGCCACCAGGGAAGCCCCAGGCTGATTCATGTTGATGTATGGCAGAAACCAACACAAAATTATAAAGCAATTATACTCAAACTAAAAATAAATAAATAAACCTTAAAAAAAAATACAAACACTGGAACAATGAGGTCTTACTGTATATCACAGTGAACTATGTTCTGTATCTTATAACCTACAATGGAAAGGAATCTGAAAAAGAATATATACATATAACTGCATCACTTTGCTGTACATGTGAAACTAACACAACATTGTAAATTAACTACAATTAATTTAAATTAACTAAGTTAATTAACTTTGATTTTAAAACTATTAAAAACAGAAACAAAAATTTCACAAGCAATGGACAAACTGACATAATAAAGCAGCCATATTATTTGGGATGAAGGAAATTCTAGGCAGAAGCATGCTGGGAACAAAAATAACATCAAGTGATCAAGAAAGATCAGAAATCTGGTTCAATTAGCTGAGCAAGAAATGAGTTGAACAGTGATATGGATAAGAAGAACAAGAGGTCAAGTTAGAGCTAGAACTGAGATGTCAGGCAGATGAGATTTAAAGAAATGGTCTGATTTATGTCTTACACACTAAAGACCAGCACTTTCCAAGGGAACAGAACATTCCGCAACAGTGGAAATACTGTCTGTCTGTACTCGGTGGTGTACTATAGTGACTGACCAACCATATCTAGACAGACAACATTTAAATCATGGTTTGTCAGAAAAGCTGAACTTTTAATTGTAATATTTAATTTAAACTACCACATGTGGCTAGTGGTTACCATGTTGGAAATTACAAAAATAAACTTCTTACAGAATATATATTGACACTACATGACTTTTTTAAAAGGTATCAACCCAGAAAGATAAATACAGGTGGAAAATGAGAGCAACAAGATTTTATACAGTAGAAAGCAGATGCCAGATAGTAACTGACTTAGCTGACCTGGTAAAGCCAAATCTTAAGCAAGTAGTTGAGAAAACCAGAAAACCACTCAACTTATATCCAAGAACCATACCAAGCAACTCAGTACTAATATATATCACATAACTTTGGAACTGGGTGTCGAGGCAGGGCTAAATATGAGAATTTTTTATAACTCTGCACAGCAGGGTGAACGCCCCCTTCCACCTTCTCCCACAGGCTCTAAACTTCATCAGTGAATATTCTAACAGCAGCTTTCTGTTCACACTAGGCTTTTAAGACACTGACAGACAGGTATAGGTCCTACAGGGAAGACTGGAAGAAGAGTCCCTGAAGAATCCACATAATCCCAACAGGAAAGGCCCAGAGGGCTGATGAAGGAGCTCCCACCCATACAGAAATGGCCAACCACACTGTCCCTCACTGAAGCCCATGTCCAACAACCTACGCCTATAGACAGTTTTAGTGTTAAGTGGGCACACTGGATTCACCAGACATTTGAGGAAAACATCCAACATGAAAGATGGACAAGGAAGGGAGGAAAAAACTCTTAAGTCAATACATGCAAATATTTCCTCACAACCTTAGAAAGAAACTTAAAAGAAAATGTATCCAAATGTCTGTTATGCCAATTCAACTGTTTCTATTATTTTCATATTCTCACCACTCTAAAGTAGCTTTCACTAGCAATGCTTGAATGTCTGCCTTACAGGAAAGTGAAACATTACAGACTATAGTCCCCACCTACCCCACTGAAACCACTCTGCACAACTCAGGGTGTATCCTAACACTATCCACATACCAGGTGTCTGGGTCCATTCACACAATCCCTGTGTATGGGTGCGTGAAAAATGGGTTTCAAACGAGATGGCCACAAACTATACAGATTCCTCTTAAAAGGTTAGCCAATTTCTAAAAGGAAATTTTCTAAAAGGAAATTTCCCAAACTACATATTGAGCTCCAACTGGAATTTCCTGTGAGAATAAACCTGAGAGACCACTTGCCGTGATGGTTCCTGGAGCTGACTCCGACGGACTCACAGAGCTTTGGTATGCGATCCTGTTATGCACAGAACTCTGGTCGTAGGAGGAAGACGTCGTTACTGGACTAGTGGAGCTCAACGAGGAGCTGGTCAGACTGGAGGAGGTAATGACGGAAGTTGTGTAGGTGGAGTTCTGTACTGCACTGGTCATTGGTAGGGAGGTATTCAAAGAATCACTACAGAGAATAAAAGACATGAAACATACATCTGTGTCACTTCACAGTTTTCATGAGGTAGAACAATTTCATCTCTTGTCGTATTTTAAATTAAATAAATATATCTGTAACTATAAAATGTATACTGCTGCATCATTTATAGCTGCAAATGAGATTAAAAGAACAATTAATCCCTCCTCCCAAATTAGAGCAACCTAATTTAACTGACAGTTCAAAACTGGGAAAAGAGTATGTCAAAAGACTGTATACCATCACCCTGCTAATTTAACTTATATAAAGAGTACATCATGCAAAACAACAAGTGGGACAAAGCTCAAGCTGGAATCAAGATTGCTAGGAGAGATATCAACAACCTCAGATATGCAGATAATATCATCCTAAAGGCAGAACATGAAGAGGAACTGAAGAGTCTCTTGATGAGTGAAAAAGGAGAGTGAAAAACCTGGCACAAAACTCAACATTCAAAAAACTTTGAAGGTTCAAAAAGATACAGCATCCAGTCCCATCACTTCATGGCAAATAGAAGGGGGAAAAGCAGAAACAGTGGCAGATTTTCTTTTCCTGGGTTCTAAAATCACTGTGGACAGTGACTTCAGCTACGAAATTAAAAGATGCGTGCTTCTTGGAAGAAAAGCTATGAAAAACCTAGACAGCATATAAAGCAGAGATATCACTGCCAACAAAGGTCCATATAGTCAAAGCTGTGGTTTTTCCAGTAGTCATGTATGGATGTCAGAGTTGGACCATAAAGAAGACTGAGCACCAAAGAATTGATGCTTTTGAACTGTGGTGTTGGAGAAGACTATTGAGAGTCCCTTGGACAGAAAGGAGATCAAACCATTCATTCAATCCTAAAGGAAATCAGCTCTGAATATTCTATTGGATGGACTGATGCTGAAGCTCCAATATTTTGGCCACCCAATGCAAAAAGCTGACTCATTGGAAAACACCCTGATGCTGGGAAAGACTGAAGGCAAAAGAAGGAAGCAGGAGAGGATGAGATGGTTAGATAGCATCACTGACTCAATGGACATGAATGTGAGCAAACTCTGGGAGACAGTGAAGGACCGGGAAGCCTCACATGCTGCAGTCCATGGGTTGCTGAGTTGGACATGACATAGCAACTGAACAACAAGTTTAACTAATAGGCAGGGTGACATAATTAAGAATTCTTAAGAAACTTTTAGGAATCTAAATGTCCTGAGTCTGTCCTTAGAAAGGGAACTCAAGCAAATATCAGATTTGACTCAAGGTAAAAAATGTAGTAAAATAAAATCTAAAATCTGAGATTCCTCTATTTATAAAATATTCCACTAAAAGAAAATAAGTGTTAGCAAAGAGGTATATACACTGCGTCCCTCATAGATTACTGGTAGGAATATAAGTATTTCAGCCATTAGGGCAAAATTCTGACAGATTCTCAAACGGTTAAATACAAGAGTTACCAAAGGATCTAGCAATTCCCAGGTACAGATCCAAAGCAAATGAAAGCACACAAAACTTAACTGAATTTTCACATCAATATGATTTATAACAGTCAAAAAGTAGATGTAACCCAAATATCTAATGAGTAGATAAACAAAATGTGATGTACCTGCACAATTAAATACAATTTGGAAAACAAAACGCACACATACTATAAAATGGATGAACCTTGAAAACACTACGCTAAATGAAAGAAGTCAGAAACAAAAAACCACTTATTGCATTTTCCTAGTTATATGCAATCCCACAATAGGCAAATCAGGAGACAGATTACTGGTTTTCAAGGGATAGAATGAGGGGGAAAGCTGGGCATGACTGCTAACAGGCACAGGATTTCTTTTTAGGGGGGTGGAAGACACATTCTAGAGTTAGCCACAAACCCATCACTATAGGGTTTATTTTCTCCACCAGGTGATTTCTTAGGCTCTACTGTGTTTTACTTTGCAAAGGACTTAATCAAAACTAGAAAGAGAAGTGGGAAACTGCATACCTTAAAGATTTTGAATACAAGCTAATGGGAATCTGGCTACTATTTTCACTGCTTGCAGCTGATCCAAATTCAGAGAGAGAAGGTTCTGATCCAAATTCCAAGGCGCCAAACTGGACATTTAATCCTGTGACATCTGCTGATCCAGGCATTTCCACTGCAGAAGCTGGGATCTGTAAAAGCAAAACCATGATGTTAGCAACGGAAGTGAGAGATTCCCAATCCCAAAGGCCTGCAGAGCTAACAAGCACTGGGTTCCCAGGGCCCTGTGGGGAGGCCTGAGGAACAAGGAGTGAAAGGCAGGAAAAAGAAATAGGATTTTTTTTTTTTTTAAGAGAAAGGAACAGAGCCAAGAAAAATTGAAAAGTTAACGGAATGATCAGTTCCACCAAATGCTTCTTAGGATGGTGGGTGGGAGTAGGGGCGGGGGGTGGGGGGAGGATGTGACACGGGATTGTGGTGACGGATGAGTGAAGAAGAGGGATCTCTAATGAAAGCATCACCTGGTCAAGGAACCACTCCTCCTACCTCTACAGAACAGAGCTAAGTAAGTACAGAAGAACATCAGATTCTCTTAGCTAAAAGCACAAGATCATCAGGTTTCCTGAGCGAGATCTGTAATTTGAATGGACAGTCCTGTCTCTTAGCACAAACGCATCAGTCACTCAGAAACGACCGATTCCTCATAAATCAAGAGACTATGCACCTGAAAATACCCCATGAACTTAAGTGTTAAAATGCACCCACCTTTGGCACTATGACTTCCTGACACAAGACCCACCTTGGAAGCTGGAGGTATTCGCCGAGACTTCGGGAGCCTGGTGTGTCTGGGCTGCGGTTGGTGAGCAGACACCGCAGTGTTTCCCACAGTCACGCTGGGGAGCTGCAGGAGTTTGTTCACAGTGGAGGTACCGCTGTCTCTGGGTGCTGCCTCCCGGAGCTTCACCTGGGGAGGGAAGGACTCCAACCCAGGAGGAGGAGCAGTGACGGCCTGAGTCTGGTGCTGCTGCCGTTGGCTCAGCTGGCTAAGAACAGGGGATGGTTCAGGCTGAGATTTGAAGTCTATGGAGCGGGGTGGGGGTGAGGGGAGGCAACAGTCAATCATTTAGGCACATGAGCTCACAGCTCCCTCGTCCGCCATCCCTGACGGTGGAGGGCTGCTGTCACCACTGCTTTCTCCCAACCATCTTCCACCTCAATCCCAAACACGTTGTGTGTGTGTGTCTATAATATTTTAACAACTGGCCTGTGACAAATGGAAAAGGACACCTGAATGAGTTTGTAGCTAATGTCTTATGCAGAGAGGAGATTCAATTTATGCTAAAGCATATGGGGTGGAGAATGGGTATTCATATTTTATATTAACTTTTGAAAATTATTATTTCAATAACATATGTGATACTACAAAATCCAAAACATACAAAAATATATATGAATAAAAATCACCCTTCCACCCTGTTCTCAGAAGCAGACATTGTACCCAGTTTCTTGAATAAAAATATTAAAGATATTTAGTTTTCAGAGACTGTGCCACATTAATGTATGAAGAACTACTTCATTTTTATGATTACAAAGTCAGATATTGTATACAAATTCTGATTTTTAAAACCAGCATTATATTAATACACTTTGAAGTTTTCCAATTTCTTGCTATGAAATGCAATGCTGAAATAAATATATTTCTATGTAAGACATTCTGGTCAAGTGTACGTACAGCTGCAGGATCCACTGCTAGAACAGAGTTGCTGGTCCCAGGAGTGACCTGATACTTTTTATATTAAGGAAGTTCACCTTTGCCTATAAAGAGTTTCCCCCATAATTTGTCTTTTTTTCATTTGGTTATGGTATCTCCTCTCACAACCAGACTGGCAGGTCTACCTCACACAGAGTATATAAAAATCTTCCTATGTTCTTCTGTTATTGTTATTCATTATCTGTGTTTAGGTATTTTACTCATTTGGCACTTTGCTGAAGAGTAGGAGTTAGTGATCCAACTTCATTTTCCAGCTAGATACCCAAGAGAAATAAACCATCTTTCCACCACAGATTTGCAGTGCAACCTCTACCATACAGAGAAACTTTTTCTGCAAAGAACCAGACAGTAAATATCTTAGGCCCTGAAGGTCATCTCTTAGCAACTATTCAATTCTGCCTTTGCAGACTGAAGGTAGTTACAAATAAAACATAAATAAATGGCTGTGTTCCAATAAAACTGTACTTCCACAAGTAAGTTTGCCATCCCATGTCTTAGTCTATTTCCATCATAGTTGAACCTATTTTCATCTATTTCCATGATAGTTGAACCTATTTTCGTCTTGATATTAAGTATAATAGAAGACAGACTTTCAAAGAATATGGGAATAGCATGCTCAGATCTAAAAACTCATACCACTCAGTAGTTAAATGTGTAGAAAAAAGTTAACACACACAGGAGGGCTACATCAGAAATATCAGCTTCGGTCAGGGGCCATGGAATTTTTGGTATGTTCCAAAGGATGTCAATGCTCTAACTGATAAAAGGGACTCTCTTTACCTCAACTATTTATACAATTTGGTTTATGTTGAATGTTCTCTCTCCTTCTGGGATTCTACAATTTTGGTTGATACTAGGTAGAGAGTGCCCATGTAACCAGTCTCCCAATAAAAACCTTGGACATTGAGTCTTTAACGAATGCTTTGGTAGAAAAGACTTCAAACCTAGAGTAGTCTCAGGTACTTCTGTAACAGTAAACCATTTCATTCAGCAGAAAAAATGTGTTTCCACATCTCTTAGTATGCCCTAAACATAAACCAGACAGCCAACCCTATGGTTAAAGTAACCCTCTGCTATTGTGGCATGTGTATTGGTGGGAAATGGAGGGTTAATGTCACAAAGTCTATGAGTGTACAGCTTAGAAAACATCTAACTTAGAAAACATTTATAATACAAACCACAGACATTAAGGCTAGACAAAATCATGGCAGATACACACACGTTAGAATCAGAACACGACAGAGAATATGATTTAAAGTATTGTCCACATTCCACCTTCTTATTCTAATAAAGCTCAAAAAAAAATCTGTCTAGGCATTTATTCAAAGTGTTGTTTCCTTATATCTGCTTGACTACTATCGTGCTTTCGCACATCTGTTCAAGGTATGGACTACCACTACTATTAATATTAACAAACAAATACAGGTATTTATACAATGCCAAACTGAATGATTTAATTCAGAAACTGCTGAAGTTTTACTAAAAAGAAATATGCCTGGTCAAGACAGAACCCATAAACACTAACCACTGACATTTACCTCAAAGTCTCCTGCTTCTGAATTGGCAGGCAGGGTGTAGTGGCTAAGAGTGCTGGGTGGCTGTGGTTTGGGTCGGTGGGTGGTCAGGACCAGAGGGGTAGTCTCTGGCTGACTTATCAGGGTGGCCCAAAGATGGAGGGACTTTATCTTGGCATTTGGTGGTGGTAGTAACTGCTTCCCAGTTTCTGCTGAGTCAGAGATCTCCGTTGTGTTCTTGTGCACTGGCTTTTGGAACTCAAGTAAAGGCCCTTTCGTTTTGAGTGAAATTCCTCTTGGTAGATTGGACCTAGTCTGGTCTTTGGAGAGAGATCAAGCTCTGAGCCTTTGGAGTGGGAGCACTGACTCCAAGAGCCTAGACAACCAGAGAACTAACCCTCAGTTCAGTTCAGTCGCTCAGTCGTGTCCGACTCTTTGCGACCCCTTGAATCGCAGCACGCCAGGCCTCCCTGTCCATCACCAACTCCCGGAGTTTACTCAAACTCATGTCCATCGAGTCAGTGATGCCATCCATCCATCTCATCCTCTGTCGGCCCCTTCTCCTCCTGCCCCCAATCCCTCCCAGCATCAGGGTCTTCGCATGAGGTGGCCAAAGTACTGGAGTTTCAGCTTCAGCATCAGTCCTTCCAATGAACACCCAGGACTGATCTCCTTTAGGATGCACTGGATGGATCTCCTTGTAGTCCAAGGGACTCTCAAGAGTCTTCTCCAACACCATAGTTCAAAAGCATCAATTTTTCGGCGCTCAGCTTTCTTCACAGTCCAACTCTCACATCCATACATGACCACTGGAAAAACCATAGCCTTGACCAGACGGACCTTTGTTGGCAAAGTAATGCTAGAGAGTATCAAATAGTGAGAACTCTCACAAAGGAAACCACTTGAATATAAGACCTGGCATCACCCAACCACCAGAAGCACCCTGTGCAGGATGCCTCATCTAAACAACAAACAAAACAAAAATACAAACCCAATCATCAGCAGACAGGGTTACTGCCTCACTCAGCCTTGCCCATCAGACGAAAAACAAACAAACAAAAACTCAGCACAAATCTCACCCTATACAAAGCTTACACAAACCATTGGACCAACCTTCGGAGGGCAGAAACCAAAGGGAAGAAAGAATTCAACATTCAAGCCTGGGAAAATGAGACCTCAAATACAGTAAGTTAAAAAAAAATAATGAAAAGGCAGAGAAATACCACACAAATGAAGGAACAAACTAGAAACACAGAAGTCCAAATAAATGAAGAAGAAATAGGCAAACTACCTGAAAAAGAATACAGAATAATGACAGTAAAGATGATCAAAATCCTTGAAAACAAAATGGAGAAAAATGTAAGAATCAATTAACAAAGATCTAGAAGAATTAAAGAATAAACATACAGAGATAAACAACACAATTACTGAAATTAAAAATACTCTAGAAGGAATCAACAGCAGAATATCTGAAGCAGAAGAATGAATCAGTGAGGTGGAAGATAAAATGGTGGAAATAACTTCTGAAGCACAGAATAAAGTAAAAAGAATGAAAAGAACTGAGGATAGTTTCATCACATCACATCACATCAAAAAGCTCATACACCATGATCAAGTTGGGTTTATTCCAGGAATGCAAGGATTCTTCAATATATGCAAATCAATCAATGTGATACTGAAAGATAAACACCATATGCTAATCTCTACAGATGTAGAAAAAGCCTTTGATAAAATCCAGCCCCCCATTTATGATTAAAACTCTTTAAAAAATGGGCATAGAAGGAATCTACCTCAACACAGTAAAGGCCATATATGATAAACCTACAGCAAAGATTATTTTTCAATGGAGAAAAACTGAAAGCATTCCCCCTAAGATCAGGAATAAAACAAGGTTGTTCACTTTCACCACTATTATTAGACAGTTCTGGAAGTCCTAGCTAGAGCAATCAGAAAAGAAAAAGAAATAAAAGGAATCCAGATCGGAAAATAAGTAAAATGAATTAAAGACCTAAATGTAAGACCAGAAACTATAAAACTCTTAGAGGAAAACAAAGGCAGAACACTCACTGTTTGCAGATGACATGATACTGTACATAGAAAACCCTAAAGATAGTATCAGTAAATTACTAGAGCTAATCAGTGAATTTAGCAAAATTGCAGGACACAAAATCAATACACAGAAATCACTTGCATTTCTATATACTAATAGTGAAAAATCAGAGAAATTAAAGAGTCAATCATATTCACCATTGTAACAAAAATAAAACAGTATCTAGGAATAAACTTACCTAAGGAGACAAAAGAACTGTACACAGAAAATCATAAGACACTAATGAAAGAAATCAAATTTGACATAAATAGATGGATAGATAATCCATGTTCCTGGGTAGAAAGAATCAATATTATGAAAATGACTATACTACCAAATGTAATCTACAGATTCAATGCGACCCCTATCTAATTACCAAAAGCATTTTTCACAGAACTAGAACAAAAAATTTCACAATCATATGGAAACACAGAAGACCCCAAATAGCCAAAGCAGTCTTGAGAAAGAAGAATGGAGCTGGAGGAATAAACCTTCCTGACTTCAGATTACACTACAAAGCTACAGTCATCAAAACAGTATGGTGCTGGCACAAACACAGAAATATAGACCAATGGAACAAGATAGAAAGCCCAGAAATAAACCCATGCCCCTATGGGTACCTTATTTTTGCCAAAGGAGGCAAGAATATACAATGGGGCAAAGACAGCCTCTTCAATAAATGGCGCTGGGAAAACTGGACAGCTACATGTAAAAGAATGAAATTAGAACACCTCCTAACACCATACACAAAGATAAACTCAAAATGGATTAAAGACCTAAATGTAAGACCAGAAACTATAAAACTCTTAGAGGAAAACATAAGCAGAACACTTGATGACATAAATCAAAGCAAGATCCTCTATGACCCATCTTCTACAGTAACGGAAATAAAAACGAAAGTAAACAAGTGGGACCTGATTAAACTTAAAAGCTTTTGCACAGCAAAGGAAACTATAATCAAGGTGAAAAGACAACTCTCAGAATGGGAGAAAATAACAGCAAATGAAACAACTGACAAGGGATTAATTTCTAAAATATACAAGCAGCTCATATAACTCAATGCCAGAGAAACAAACAACCCAATCAAAAAGGGGAAAAAAGACAGACATTTCTCCAAAGAAGACATACAGATGGCTAACAAACGCATGTAAAGATGCTCAACACTGCTCATTATTAGAGAAATGCAAATCAAAACCACAATGAGATCTCACACCAGTCAGAATGGCCATCATCAAAATGTCTACAAACAATAAATGCTGAAGAAGATATGGAGAAAAAGGAACACTCTTGCACTGTTGGTGGGAATGTAGATGGATAGAGCCACTATGGAAGACTTATGGAGATTCCTTAAAAAAACTAGGAATAAAACCACCATATACCCAGCAATCCCACTCCTAGGCATTATACCCTCAGGAAACCAAAATTGAAAGACACACATGTATCCCATTGTTCACCGCAGCACTATTTACAATAGCTAGAACATGGAAGCAACCTAGATGTCCATCAACAGATGAATGGATAAAGTAGTTGTGGTACATATGCACAATGGAATATTCCTTAGCCATAAAAAGGAACACATATGAGTCAGTTCTGTTGAGGTGGATGAACCTAGAATCTATTATACAGAGTGAAGTGAGCCAGAAAGATAAATATCATATTCTAACACTTATATATGGAATCTAGAAAAATGGTACTGAAGAATTTATCTATAGGGCAGCAATGGAGAAACAAACATAGAGAATAGACTTATGGACATGGGGAGAGGGGAGGAGAGGGTGAGACACATGGAAAGAGTAACATGGAAACTTACATCACCATGTGTAAAATAGGGAGCCAATGGGACTTTGCTGTGTGGCTCAGGCAACTCAAACAGGGGCTCTGTATCAACCTAGAGGGTGGGATGGGGAGGGAGATGGGAGGGGGGTTCAAGAGGGAGGGGATATTTGTATACCTGTGGCTGATTCATGCTGAGGTTTGACAGAAAGCAAAAAAATTCTGTAAAGCAATTATCCTTCAATAAAAAAATAAATTAAAAAAAAAAGAAAGAAAGAAATATGCCCAGTCAAATCCACATTAGTGTCCAAAAGTCAGCCTACTCTGCCAGTGTTTGGCATGTCCTCACTAGGGGCAAACCACCGTAGAAAATGCATACTTACCAAAATGACTAAGGACTGAGGACTGGGAGGCTGGAGGCTTGAGGTCCCAAGAAGAAGTGGTTGTGGGAGAACTCGTACTATTTTGCTGTGAACTTGAGGTGGTGGTAAACTGGCCCAAACTCGGAGCTTTCAACTGGTCCAAAATCTGGGAGCTGGTAATGTTCGCCATTTTTGAAGGGGCAAGCTCTCCAAATCCTGAACCAAGGACGGATGACTTTAAAGGGAAACAAAATCAAAAATCCTCAGCAATACAGAATTTCTACATGCCACTGTATTTTCACAAGGATTTTAAAAATTATAGCCTAGAACATTCTGAATTAGTAAGATTCATCTGAATAAATACTACACAAAAATATTACCAAGCAACAAGATATGACTAAATAAATCTAACAATCCTTCCTGCTTCTGATACAAGAGCTTCGAGGGAAGAAGAATAGTGTCCCCAGATTTTAAGAATTGACTTTTATTCAAAAAGTGGTATCATTTAAGCTTACAAACACAACATTACTTTTTTTAAAGTAGACAGAAATATCATTTATCAAATGACAATGACAAGGTTGAAAACAAAATACAATATTTTCTAGATGTGTGGAATGGTAATCATCTTTAACTTTGTGAAGTTTTTACTAGGGTTAGTCACAGAGAGATCAGTCATCAGATCATCCTGCAAGGTTAAAGACACATCACAGTATTTAACAGTCTGTATTCCAGAATCAGACACTGAATTACAAGGAGATATGGAGCCAGCTGGGCTGCCGTCTCTGGGGTCACACAGAGTTGGACACGACTGACGTTGACTCAGCAGCAGCAGCACACGTGTACTGAGCAGACGCCCTGGACACTGCTGTGTTTATTTCAAAGTGTTCTGATGACGGAGACACCAAATACACTTCCTGAGCAAATGACGAGCCAACATGAGAGTGGCAGATCAAGTGCATTTTTACCTATCAATATCATTCAATCACTGAAAAGATTAAGTCAAAACATAACTCCACAACCACCATAAAGGTTAAAAATAGAAATGATCTACATTCTGTCAAGAGGCCTGATCTACAAAGCTGAATCAATTATTTCTGGTATCAATTTCCAAAGCCATGGACTATCTGTCCCAGTTGTTTTAAAGATATCCAAATTCTCCAATGTGAGCAGAAAACTTCAGGCTGTAGGCAATTACTGCACTTCAAACACAGAACCTGCTTCTATTAAAACAGCTGTGATAACATTACTTAACACTGCTCCTGACTCTGGGCTCATGCCAACCACTACACCACTCTTATGTCGCTTATAAATGCATCAAAACCCAGCTCAAGCTCAAAGAAAGGCATCTTCTTCTTCTCTTATCCAATCTCTATCCTGCATCAGCTAATTTAGTTGTATCACACTTTCTGTGTGTTTCACAACACGATGACATCACTGCATCAATGACTAACACCTTGCTTTAGGTAATACCTATTAGCACAGGGTTTCAATTCCACCTACACATTTCAATCAAAGGGGACAGTTTACAAATGTGCCTACGGGTACACTTGTGCACAGGCATTCACATAAATACATACAAATGCTCAACGCCCAATGCCAAAGATCCTGACCCGTCTTGTGCAGAATCTGGCTTAATCTTATTACTATTGTTACCTGGCATATTTAGTTATTATAACTGAAGTTTCCCAATGATAATAAAAGTATAGTAGGGCTGAGAATCACTGCTCTCATATGCTAAACAAACAATTTGTACTCTGGTTTCTCAAGATGTTGTTCACGACAAAAAGGAACATGCCTGAAGGATGCTGTTAAAATAAAAACCCTAATGTCCTATCTACATTCTCAAGTGGCCTGACTATGATTCCAGCAAGTCAGCAAGGACATCACATCAGTGTACCACTGGCAGATGGAGGAAAGGAACTGGATGGTTCAATCAAACTCAGGGGTATTAATGGGCCCTTTCAAAACAGTCTGTCTTGGATCTGTCCATCTTCAAGAAGTGACACCCTCTCAAAAGCTATCAACAATGACGCTAAAAATGCCAAGTTCCCAAGCTAGTTATACTTGCCATGACATGACTATGCAGAGGAGGAGATGACAATGAGAAGTTCTCATATTCAAGTCTCCCAATTTTTAGGGAACAGCAAAGAATTTTGAATCCAGGTTTGGGGGGGGTGATTATCATAGATCATATTCATAAGAAATTACATTTTTCAACTGTAGATTTCAGACTAAACACAACAAAGAAGAACAAAAGTATTATCACTAGTGAAAGCTGTGGATTTGTGTCTATAGTCCTTTCAACCTCTAGTCTTGCACCTCAGAACAGCCCACACTTAGACGGAGACCTGAGTTTACCATTCTGCAGCTACATTCTTTCATATTCTATGCTCTAACCTTTTTACTCCCATCACCTATCTTCATTTGCTTCACTAACAGTTCCTGAGCTTTTCTCTGATGGAAGTTAGTTCTCTTTTTTTTGTCTATACTGCAAAGTATGAGGTATCTTAGTTCCCTGAACTTTCACCCCTGCAGTGGAAGCACAGAGGCTTAACCACTGGATCACTAGTGAAGACCCGGGAGCGGAACTGTTACAGAAGCCAAAGTCAGATATGCAGCAGGAGATGACACTGTCTCAATAAAAACACATCCAATTTCTAAGGGCCTCTACTATGCAACTGTTTGGAATAACAAAACCAAAATGCTAAAAATTTAAGAACCTAGGCAGATCTAAAAATAACTTTTTGCAGATTAGCAAAGCAATACTGACAAACATTAGCATTTAAGTAAACTGGAAAACAAATGAAAATTTAACATCTTAAGTATAGAGACAGACTCTGAAACAAACCCAAGGAAAAAAATCATCCTTCTTACTAGATGGATCCCTAAGTTGATTATGACTGAAGTAATTCATAATTCAACTAATCATAAAGAAGTATTTTTTATCTTCATCCAGAAAACTCAGTGGTTGAATTCCACACAGAACTGTCAGATATGTGCTTGGAAATTATGACATCATTGTTTTCTGGACTGGGATCTAGTATAGAGATTTTTATATGCAAAAAAATAATGATAAGGCAAGTGCCTTTCAAGAATACATTTGTTCACGGGACCATTCCTTAAAATCTCAATCTATGAGAAAAGTGAGTTACCAAACTCTGAGGTGGATAGGAGTTGACAGCAGCGGAGCCGCCAGTCCCTGGTGCCAACTGACTGTTGTGCTGAGAGTTCGTGAAGACAAGGGCTTGGCCAAAGCTCTGCTGTTGGGAAGCTTCAAAGGAGTTGACTTCTGGGGCTTGACAGGGAGGAACAGGCTTCTGGAGCAAGGCTACCAGATCAACACTAAGCAGACAAAAAGCAAATGAAAGAATGAGTCAGAAGCAAATCTTACCAAAAAATAAACTTGAGAAATGAATCACTATAAATAAGTTCATGCTAAAAATAATCCCAGGGAGGAAAATCTTTGGATACTGGAGTTTAAGAGCAGCAAAAGGAGAGTATCAATTATCCCCCCACATGCCTACCCTACCAAGAAAGCACACCAAGCCACCGAGACCCAAATAGAGCTTTGCAGAGAAAAGAAAGGTGCATTGAGATGTTTCCATAGAAATGGCACAGTGACAACCGATTAGAAAATCTGAAGCAACTGAGTACACTTCAACAGTTTTCTTGGCTTGTTTCCTTTAGAATATTTGGCCCTCTTCATTACTTAAAACCAGTCTCTCTTAAACTTTCCCAAAGGAAAGTAAATCCGTATTTTTGAGGAATGAGGACCAAAGCCGTGCTAGACCACTCAAGCAGTTTTGACATTTACCATAAATATTCCTGTAAGTTTTGTGTTCTATCCCATGATATATTTAGGTTTATATAAATCTCAAAATTTCTCTCTTAAATATTTAGGGAAAAAATGCACAATATATTAACAAATACTCTATTAATTAGACTTCTTATAATGTCCCTAGGAAGACTGAGATTCCAAGTTTAGAATCATGGGCTTAAAACCTGAAAGCATGAGGAAGAAATGATCTTTCAGATAATGTATTTCTTGACATGAGAATGAGCTACTAATTTCTCCACAGAAAGACCTAACATGGTAATCTGCTCTATTAAATCCTTTTAAATGGCAGTTCCCAAGCAGTTCTCCTAATGGAAACTCACCATGCCAATGAGGCAGATTCTGGAAGGTCAAATAATTAAAAACTCACTCGTGATACACAGCCAAGTTCCTAGGCTTGAGTTCTTCTCCTTACACACTACCCGCTCTCATGTCCCCGTAACTGAGAAACAGTTATGGGATCTAGTATTATGGACCCCAATGAATGTTCCAGCTTATGATAACCTAATTCCAGGGATACAAATCCATGGTAGTTATATTACATATGACCCATATGAAAGTTCCATAACTACAAAATCCAGAAGTTCTATTCCAAACAATTGATGAAATATATACATAAATGAAGAACACTGCAGCACTACTGTCTGAAAAATAATCCTTCAAAGGTCCAGTTTTTAAATGAAAATGATGAAAAAGAAAAAGAAAATGATGATATGCAATTCATCAAATACTAAATACAATGAAGAAGATACATCCATTTAAGGAAAAATTCTGAGCAAGTCACACAATAATATATTCCAAGACATAACCTTTGATTTTTATTTCCCTGTAATGAAGTCTTATCACCACCTCATTTAGCAAGAGATTGAGCATGTTAGGTTCAAAATTGCCTTCAATGCTCAGGTATCATATATATCAAGGCTCTCATCCTTCTAGATCACAACTTTTTGAAACCATAATCAAAGGTTTTTGGAGTTACTGTAAACCCGAGAATGTAAATAAATACTTTTCAATAATTCAATTCTGCACACATTCTAACAATGTTTCTACTATCCCAAAAGCTCCTCCTTGTCTGTAATCTATGAAATTAGTAGATTAAAACTACTAGAACCCATATAAAATGAGAACTTTGCACTATCCTAAGATCTAACTAGGGGCTTCCCTGGTGGCTCAGAGGTTAAAGCATCTGCCTCCAATGCGATAGATCTGGGTTCGATCCCTGGGTTGGGAAGATCTCCTGGAGAAGGAAATGGTAACCCACTCCAGTATTCTTGCCTGGAGAATCCCATGGACGGAGGAGCCTGGCAGGCTACAGTCCACGGGGTCGCAAAGAGTCGGACATGACTGAGCGACTTCCCTTTCACTTTTCACTTTTTTCAAGATCTAACTAAACGGCATTACATGAAGAAACCAAAAGAGATTTGTTACGTTTATCTGTCAAAAAAATGTTTAGCAAAGTAAAAAACAAATTGTTAGATTTAACATTATCGCTGCCATGTGTGTGAGCACATGCTCAGTCACGTTGACTCTCTGCAACCTCCCTGGACTGTAGCCTGCCTGTCCATGGAATTTTCCAGGCAAGAATACTGGAGTGGGTTGCCACCTCCTAATCCAGGGGATTTTCCCAACCCGAGAGTTGAACTCATGTCTCCTGCAATGGCAGGCAATTCTTTATCGTTTGAGCCACCTTGGGAGCCCACAGCTGCTGTTTTAGTTCACCAGCAGACACAACAAACTAGGGAATGACGGAGGTTCTGTCAGCCCACCAGATAAGGGTGAAACAAAAGTCTTAAGACAGAAAAGAGAAAAACAGAAAGAGATTCAAGAAAAGGGTGAAAAATGAAGAGATCTGAGGAAGAAAACCACTCTCCTACAGCAAGAAATTTTAATTCTGCTCTGAATTTTAAAAGGTGGGGAAAAGTATTTACCTTTGCCCAGGTGTGACATGATTCTCTGCTGGAACAGATGAGGAAGTGAAGACTTTTGTTTCCGAAAGCTGTAACAAAAGGATTTAAAATATTTTAATCTTATTTTATATAATATAAAACCAAAAAATGTAACAAATTCCTGATAATTTTTAGTCATCAGTACTCTTCTTCTAGTTCACCCAAAAGGCAGTCTAAAGGAAAAGAAATAAACAAGTGATCATGGCATGTAATTTTCTTAAGGTGAAGATAATTTTAGATTGATAATTCCACAATAAGGATTCCATGTCAGGGAAACAAGAAAGTGAAGTAAAGTCAGATCATAGTTCAAGTCCCAGTCTCACTATTCTACTTCACATTATACTAAATGAGAACTCCTATAAAAACCACCACTAATGTCACTATAAACACCAAACAGGAATAGGAAAAAAGTCTGAAAAGGTAAATTACTGACATTCTCTTTTCCCAAAGACAGGTGGTTTTAGTATTTTCTTTACCAGTAATAGATTTACTAGTCATAGATTTTCTTACTGCTTATAACACAAATAATAAACTGAATAACTAAGTAAGGTGTGTCATATATATACTCCATCACAAAATCAAGACGACACCTATTACCCCAGAAGCTCGCTCCTGTCCCGTGTGATCAATTCCTTGAGCACTCACTTCTGTCCCCAGGCAACCACGGGTATGTTTTCTGCCATTATAGCTTAAGCAGTATATTCCAGAATTTTAAGTGGAATTTTTAAACATATAATCTTTTTCATGTATTTCGTGTATATTCGATTTTTTTTTTCACTGAACATAATCATTTTGAGATTCATGCATGTTGTTTTAAGGCACACAGGATACAATTTCTTGAAACCTCAACTGACACTGCTGAAAGGCAGACTTATATTTTCAAAATGGGGCACAGTCTTATAAAGGCTAATACTGTTGATCTAATGACAATGTTGAAAACTAATGAAAATGCTATTCTTAACAATACTAAAAGTCTCAGGCTTAAAATCAGACTTCCTCAGACATTAATATTAACGCAGGGGCAGATCAGGCAGTTAGGTGTTCACTTTCTGTAAAATCAAAAAGTGCTAAATTCATTATAATGTTTCAACAAGAAAGGCTTATACCATGCACTGCACCCTATTTCAAGATAGTATCTTAAGAATTCCAAGGAATCCATTTTTGCCTTAAAGTATCTTATGAATTAAATTAAGACAGAGAAGCAATCAAGGAGTAATTCTATTAAAAGTAGTAACAGAAGATCTAAAGCCTTAAAATATAAAATATTAAGTTCAAGGTAAATAAGAACTATTATACATTTATCACTGAAATCCTATCTAGTCCACTAGAGAACAGAAAACTTGCATTGTTTTCTCCTCCTAAACTCTAGAAGGAACTCATGATTTGCATTTTAGATTACTCACCATTCAATCACCATTACTTTGTAAATGTCAGAAACTTTTAAGTAATTTTGGTATTTCCTGGAAAAGAAGATGTTCACTATTGTATACAGGGAACTCTGCTCAGTGATCCGTGCTAGCCCGGATGGGAAGGGGGTTTGGGAGAGAATGGATATATGTGTATGTATGGCTGAGTCCCTTCACTGTTCACCTGAAACCACCACCATACTGTTAATTGGCTATATACCCCAATAGAAAATAAAAAGTTTAAAGTTTGGGGAAAAAATTTTTAAAAAGATGTCTAAATTCCCTACCATAATTCTTTTCAGTAATTCTATTGTGATACAATACAGCCTACACAGCAGAGTATTACTAACTATATGTGTGTGCATTTGAACTGCTTGTTAGACGACTTGTATCTTAAGACCTCACCTGAAGCACAGAAAAACCCCATCAGTTAGGCAGGATGGTTATTATGATAATCACTCTAGGGATGAAAAATAGGAGGCTCAGGAAGGTAAGATGCCTCATCTAAGGTCAACAGGTCAACCCAGCTAGAATATGAATACAACAACCCAGCTAGAACATGAATACAAGTCATCTGCCCTCTGATAGCTGGCTGGCTTTCTATCCTGCCTGCTGCCCCAGACAAAGCTTTGAGCTCTGAAAGCCTTTTTTTCTCCCAAAAAACTCTTAGCAAAAATTCTAGTAACACAAAACATGTAAAACTAGGACAGATCTGTTTGAAATAAGGTATGGTGCCCAGGTTACTCACTCTGACTTCCTCTTATCACTGGTATCATCCCTCCACTGACTCTATTAGCCACCCATCTCATCCACTCTCCTCAGATTACAGGTAACAGAAAGCCTGGTGACATCATACCCCAAGGTCTTATGGTTAGTATGTGGGATAAGTAAATAAAAAACCCTAAGTTTCTGAAGTTCCAAAGGAGTATATCCTTCTCCTTTCTTACAGCCTATCCAGCTTACTCCCTAATAAGTCAGATAAAATAGTGATAAAAAAAAGCTCAAGTGCAGTTTTGTTTCTTTTTTAAAAAAATGTTAAGTACAAATGGGGGAAGGGAAGATAATCTCAAAAAGAAAAATAAAATCCCAAGCCCTGGGTCATGTTATGCAATTCTGAAGGTCAGTACTTGTAAACCCTTTATTCTCTCCCACCCAATGTCAGCTGTAACTCTCTAACATGTACATACTTCTGTTCTGGACCTTAAGAGTGAAACAGAAAAATAATTAAGAGTATCTTATACTGAATACAGAACTTAAAGATCAATACTACTAATACCAAGAAGCTAGTACAGTATACTCAAAAATGTCTGTGGAATAAATGAATACAAAAAAAGCCAGTCTAGTTGAAAGGGGAGTTGCTTGGTCCTAGAACCAGAATGATTTATTGAGGTTAATTTCAACTGTAAACCTAAAACATAGACTCTGTCCTTCAATAAAAAGGTTATAGAGACAAAATAATCATTCACAGGCCAGGGTAACAGAATCAGCTGGTTATTGGGCCAAAGAAAACAAAGATAGTGAAAAAATGACGTCGCTCCTATTTAACGCCTGGTCATCTTTAAATAGATGCTTTAAAACCAAGTTTTTCAAAAATCTGGAAACACCAACATCTTTTTGAGATGCATCTGCTTAAAAAAAAAATTAACCATAGAAGTCTGAAAGGGAGCTTAGAATAGTGATAAGATATCCCAAGCTTTCCTCAAAAGTACATGTGTTCCTGCCAGAATCCAAAAGAAAGACAGTCACACCTGATGCTGAACACTTACATCTTCAGTCCAGTCTTCCGCTGTCCACTCTTCCACAGAATTCTTCCAGGCCCCTGTTGACAATCACAGTTTACACCACAAAGTCAAATAAAGTCTGATTCCAAATGATTCTCCATTGTGTATGGCACAAGGTATATCATGTATCTCATTAGCAATATAGTTTACAATCCAAGAAATATGAGGCTCTTAACCTATCTCAAGAAAATCAGTCATGTTTTCAAACGCAGCTTGGCTAAGTACTAAACACACGCACACAAGCCATGTCCCAAGCTGCTTCTGGATAATATCCACGGCCTTAAGAAACTATGGCACAGCAAAACTAATATTAACAAGGAGATCCTTATGATACATTATTTAAAAAAGAACACAATTCAATATAAGGCAGCTCTGCTTTGGGCCCTCATTTCAGGCAGATTATCAGATTTAGAGAAGTGTTTTTTATATTAGCTCCATTGTATCATTTCCTAACAGGTCTCCAGCAAAGCTGAGCGTTAGTCTTATTCACACAAAGTCTGTTGCTATACTCCTGATAAGTAGGTACAGAAAATGTGTTCACACAGTTCTTACAGAATAATCATCTATATAAAAAACAATTAAGTACTCTGAAGAAAAGTATATGAATTAAGATATGCTGATATTAGGGCTTAGTGACCCTGTGTCCATTCCCATTATTTTAAAACATATGTACAAACACATACCCAGATAAAACAGTTTTAAAAAGAAACACACCAAGATACTGACTGTAACTACCATCAGGAAGTGGGAGTGTGAATGCTTTCAGTTCCTTCAATAGGAACAAATAGCTGAGCATCTGACCTGAAATGAGGTTTGTGTGTGGGAAGAGGAAGGGCACAACACCCTTGCAAAAATAAGGTAAATGAACAGATCTAACTCCCTTGGAATCATGTCAGTAACCTAATAACTAAACTGATGCTGCAAACCTAAGAAAAGAGGCCTTCTCTGTTGAAGACTTTCAACAGGATGTCCCTAATTCCAGACTGATTATGGCAAACAAAAGTAGAATCTATGGATTTATGGAACATGACTTCTTATAAAATATTACCCCAAAAGTGCTATTTTGTGGCTATAAAAAGGGAGATGTTTCAAATGTGAACACATGCCCTGGTGTGAGAGAAACCCACACACATCACACCAATACTGTGGATCACTGGGCACGTGCATTACAGGAAAGCACTCCCTACTCTTCTGTCCCTCTCGATTGCATGCACCCTTGTAATAACAGTAAAACTAGATAAAGGAATGTTTTAACATTTGAAATGGTAATTTGGTCCATTGTTTTGGCTAATTTATCTTATCTTTAAATGGTTTCCATAATTTCTCCAGAAATGTCACAAATCAAGTATCAACTTCTGTGTCCCCAAAACTTCTCTTTGAATTAAAATATTTTCATAAACAAAAGCAGAAAGATGTAATAGCTTAAGTGAAAAAATACAAGGTACAATTAGTCCCAAGCAGAAATCAGTACCAGAACTTAGATCTCTAGAGCATGCTTTACATGAAGTTAAAGGGATCCAAGGCAAGCCATCCACTTACACTTCACTGTCATCGTGGTTTCTTAAGTACTAACTGGTGCCTTTCCTAAGTACTAACACATAAATCTCCAACCTTCTACTGTATTTCCTTCCAGTACGTGTATATTTTAAAAGTTCACAAAGTGGGCTAGTTTTGAAGCAGCTCAGTACACAGCATTCTCGGTGCCACTTCCATCCCACCTACCCCAGATTCATGCTGTCACATTCATCACAGGAGACAACACTCCAAAGACTGCAAACTCTACAAAACACTGAGACTCAATCTAAGCAGATTTAGGAACACTCTGCCTCAAAAACCATTCCTAAAACTTTCACTTTCAAAGCAACAAAGATTGTTACAGGAAACAATGTATGCTGGACTTGTTCTTAGGATCTCCTTCATCATCAGTCATCAACCAAATAAGACTGGGTTAAAAGCCTACACATAAAGCACTGATGCTAGATATCAAACATCTCACTGAAAAGACCATTAAAAATTTAGTGAGTGATGTGAATGATAATTTACATGAATCTGATTAATACACTGGAAAGTTGCAGGACACAAAAGTTAAGGAAAGCTAGAATGCTAACCGAAAGTTTATGGGGGAGATGAACCACAGCAAAAATCCTGAAGGCTGAACAGATAGATATATAATGAAAGGATATTCCAGGACACAGAAACAATGATGAGAAATTACAAAGAACTGAAATATATTAAAATTAACCTTAAGTTCGGAATATGTCTTTTTTCCCCCAAAAAACAATGTAAGTTGTGGCAAGATGTTTTAAGTGTACAATTCAGTATTAATAATTTAAAACACACAATCTTATATATGATATGTAGAGAGACTGGCCTACCATTTTAGAAGTATTATAAAAATAATTAAAACACAAATGAAGACATGCAGAAGAGGATGAGAAGCTGAGTATATTCAAAAGCAGGCAGAAGACAATGAATGAAGTTGTAGGCAGACATCCAACATGGTAAGGTGTTATGTCTGGCAACAGAGAGGAAGGCCGGTAGCAGCAGACAGGGCCAAGCTGTTGCAGTGATCCACCCTAGATACACGGACTGTAAAAACTACGTAATATTAGATGGAGAAGACTACAGAGTCAGGTCCTAATCTTACCACAGAATATTAAAATTTTACAAGAAGACCTTATTCCCCATTGTAGACCTACAGAGCTTCACCTCAAACTGTGAGAAAAAGTCAATGACATTCATTTATTTTCAGCTTAAAACAATAATCTGAAATGTATGCTTTGCATTCACTTTTAACTTGATGTTAGTCCTTTAACAAAAACACATATAAGGCAGACTTACAGGAAAAGAAGCAACAATGATCCTAAAGGCCAGTGTGAAAAACACTTTCATTATCAAAAACTGATAGTTATTTTACCAAGAAATTGTAGCAATAGTTTACAAACATTCACCTGATGAATTTTTATTAGCTAGCCTTGATAAAAATGGAAGTTATTTAAAAGAATTGTATAAGAATCTTAACTAAGGAATTTTTTTAAAAATCCATACCTTTGATTCCAAAAGAATTTTTGTTTGGCAGAACTACATTTTGAGCATCTGATGCCACTTGTGTGGATCAATGTAAAATGTAAGGATTTAACTATCATCAGAAGACAGAAGGAATTCATCAGAAGATAAATTAGTAAATTAAACAACAAAGGGACAGCCTCATAGCTAAGTATATGCTGTGTGTCCAAGGAAAAAGAAACTTCTGCACTCCAGGCTGACAGACTGCTGTGGCCCAACTATGAATCTTACCAGCCAGATAGATTTCAAACATTCAATTTGCATCAATTATGCTTGTTCTCATTTCCATGTTCACCAAGTTTCCTTCCCACTTGTCAAAGAAAACATTACAATCTGTTTAAATGGTACGTTTTTACTATATTTATAAATTTGCATTTTGACTACCCTTCAGTCTTTCTGTTTTGGTCAATCTCGAGACTGACCCTAAGGAATGGATTTGATTACCATCCTGTCAAGTCAGGATTCTGAGCCTATGAAGCTGTGGCCTAGACTCGAACGCTGTTATCAACAAGACAACACCATTCTGTGAGGCTTCTGGAGAAACAGCCAGAATTCCACCAGATGACAACATCTTTAATTGTATTTTGCACCAAACATATTTTGCTTATCGAAATGTTTTCCAGGAAGGAATCTGCTACTCTAAATGAAAACTAGAGGGATGAGAGGGAAGAAATAAAGACAAAACGAAAAGGAAGAAGAGAAGGAAGAATAAGAAAACAGAAAAATAGAAGTTAATGGATTAATTCAATATTGTTTCAAACATCCAATTTAAAACTCAGTGGAGGTTCTAAGTAAAGCCACTATAAACATCATATGCAGGTCTTAGTATGGACGTGTTTTTCATTTCTTCCCAGGGTTGAGATTTTAAGACTGTATAGCATCTCTGTGTATGCTTTCTCACCAGGAATAAGTTCGAATTACATCATCATCTTCACTTGGAACTGTCAGTTTTAAAGCTATTTTAGTAGATGAATGGAGGTAGCCTACTAAGCATGCACACACTCACTGTAAATTTATATTTCCCCAATGACAAATGATGATGAGCACATTTTTGTTTGCTTATTGCCATCCATGTGTCTTCCTTTGTGAAGCATCTATTCAAATCTTTTGATCATTTTTTATTAACTTTTTTTGAAATAATTACAGATTCACAAGAATTTATCTTTGCCTCAGTCTCCCCGCTGATTACACCTCACATAATTCCAGTAAAATTTAATACCAAGACAACTGCCATAGATACAAAATGTGTATACCATTCTATGTCAGTTTTTTACTGTGGCAAAATAGTGTGCACGTGGTAAATAGTATTTACCATGCCAATCTTTTTTAGGGTTACCATGCTAACCCTGAAGGACAAGGAAGCCTGGTACACTGCACTCCATGGGGTCACAGAGAGTCAAACACAACTGAGCGACTGAACAACAAACCTTTCTCAAGGGTACAATTCACTGCCATTGAGTAATCACAATGTGGTACAGCCGTCATCACCATCCATTTCCACAACTTTTTCATTTTCTGTTGTTCTAATTGCTATTTTCATTGGGATACTTGTTTTCTTCTTAATGACTTCTGAGCATTCTTTATACATTCTGTATACAAGTTCCTTTTCAAGTAGAGGTTTTAAATAAATATTTCTTCCTAAACTATGTCTTGGTCTTCCATTCTATCTGTTTTCTTCTGAAGAACCATGTTTTTCTTTTAGACTCATGCTTATTATGTCCTATATAAGAAATTTTTCCTTAATCCAATGTTGCTAAGATTTGCCCCAGTATTTTCTTTTGAAGTTGTGGTTTTAGCTTTCACATGTATAGCTATTATCCACTTTTGGCTATTTTTTTAATATATAGTGTAATGTATGCTGTATTGACTTGTCTTGGAAACTTTGTCCAAAACCAATTGTATCTGTGGGTTTATTTCTAGATTTGCTATTATGTAATTGATCTATCTCTATGCTTTTGCCAATTCCACAATCCTGATTACTGTAACTTTAGGGTAATTTCTTGAAATCATGGAGTGTGAGTCTTTGAATGCTGTTTTCAAAACTGTTTGAAAACAGTTCACACCTATACTTTTCTATAAAAATTTCAGAATCAAGTTTAGAATCAAGTGACACAAAAAAATCCTGCTAGGATTTTGAACAAACTTGTATGTTCAAACCTATATATCAATTTGGGGAGAAATGCAATATCAATAACAATATCAATGATATATCAATAACATATCAATAACATTTATGAGTCTTCCAACTCATAAACACCTCTGAGTATCTTGCCTCCTTTATGGATCATCTTGGATATTTATCTTCATGTTGCATAATTTTTGACATACAAATCTTACACATATTTTGTCAGATTTATACCTAGGGGTTTCATGTTTTTGTATTACTGTAAATGGTAGTTCTTCTGCTCATTAATGTTTCTTCAGACACTCAATTTTCACACTTTGCTGTAAGATTTTATATTTTGTATTTTAATAGACAGAAGTCTTATTTTGCATATCATTAGACTTCACAGGCATTTGACGTTTTTAGAAGCTACTATTTTTCGCATTTTCTCTGTTGATTACAGAAATATTACCTGTTAAATGAACTAGCTACATCATTTAAAGCTTTCTAATTAATTTATCTATAAATTATTTTATATCATTGACAGAGATGACAGGTTTTTCCCTCCCTTTCCAATCCTTTTCTTTTTCATTCTTTATTTCAATGGTTCAGACCTCTGGTACAATGGTGAACAGAAATAATGAGGGCAATCCTCCTGTTTCTCTTCAGTTTTGACTAAAGCTTTTGCCTTTATTCAAAAGAAAAAAAAAAAGGTAGGCTCCTTGAATTTGCTGTATGACTCAGGGAACTCAAATTGGGACTCTGTAACAACCCAAAGGGCTGGGATGGGGAGAGAGGTTGAAGGGAGGGGATATATGTATACTGATGGCTGATTCATGTTGATGTTTGGCAGAAACCAACACAATACTGTAAAGCAATTATCGTTCAATTAAAAATAAATATTTTTTAAAAAGATAAGGCCCTTGATCTTGTTACAAAAGGATATTCTATACACCACTAATTATTGTGAAGTTTGCTCTGACTTTTGAATACACCCTTTTAAGGCACAGGACTGATTAGTTTTCCGTCTATTCACAAGGTGCATAACAATCACAACTACCTATTCCAGAATACTTTCATCACTCCAAAAAACACTCTAGAACCCATTCGTAGCCACTCCCCATTTTTCCCAACATTCCCAGCCATCAGCAACCACCAATCTACCTCTGCTTCTATCTGACTAATCTGGATAATTTTTCTTTCTCACTCATCCATTGAAGAACATTTGGTTTTTATGTGAGCCTGTATCTTCCATTTTCTCTGGTATATATCTAGGAGTAGTTTGATTTTTTAAATGTTAAACTGGAATATCAAGTTTAAAGTTAACATGGCCATGATATATCCTTTCTCTAGTTCACTGAACTGTTTTCCAATATTGTGATTTAAAATTTTTACATTTGTGCTAAAGAATGAGATTAATCTATAATTTCAAATGTTGGAAAGAAATTTATCTTCTGACAATTTTTAATAGCTATGATATTAATTATAATAGATAATAATATCAATATTCCTTTTCTCATTCCTACAACCAATTATGTTTCTTCTGCTTCCCTTGACCAGTCTCATAATAAATTTATCAATTTTACTAGTGTTTTCAAACTACTGACAGGGTAACAGGCAGGAAGGCCAGGAGTCTCCAAACCGAGGAAATAGGCTGAAAGTGTTGGATGTTTTTCTCTCTCCCTTAAGTGGCAGGAAGAAACAAATAATGAGTCAGATTTTTTTTTCCTCTCTTAAAATTCTGTGTTGCCGTGACAACACCTGGTTCCACCTGAACTTAACTTTTCTCAAACCTTGAGCTAACCAATGCATTTTTTTATGGAAATGTTTTTCTTAAGCTATGTCAATGAAACTATGTATTTGCTCTGGAATTTGCCTTTCTTCAAAACGGTTCCACCTAAGGCTAACTTTTGGCTGATAACAGCTCAACAAACCAGTATTCACATCAACTGTCGTATGGCTGGGGGATGACACACTTTGTGCAGCCCCCTCTCAAAAATGCACATTGTGGGGCAGCGGCCTGGTGAGACGCCATCAGCCTGAGGCATCTCCGTCATCTGATCAGTAACTTCCCAAGAGGCATAAAACACCCAGCTCCAGACAAGCGGGGGGCACTCTTTCTGCCCCTTCTGATGTCATGTCAGAAGCTTTCTCTATCTCTTTTATACTTTAATAAAACTTTATTACACAAAAGCTCTGAGCGATCAAGCCTCGTCACTGGCCCCAGATTGAATTCCTCTCCTCCGGAGGCCAAGAATCCCAGTAGTGTCTTTCACAGCTCAACAACCACCTTTCACTTCTATTTTTGTAACTTTTGTTGGTCCTCTCCATAGTATATTTGATTCCGAGTTTTCCATGCTTCTGTGATGGTGCCACTGTCTTTTTTAGATTATTAATGAGCTATGATTTTATATTTGGGATTATAATTCATGAAGTATCAAAGAATGTTTTTATAAATGTAATCATAGCAGTTAATATATATTATCAAGATATATTATCAGGAACAAATATTCAAAAGATTTCTATTAAAAATAAGCCAATTAACAAGTATTTATCTATGAACTTCAGTAAACAAATAACCCTAAAGTTGTAGGATACAGAAAAACCTGCAAAAGCAAGTATTACCCTAAACTCACCTATCACCATCAACCTCTTATTCTGGCCATATTTGTGTTCACCACTATGAACGGTGAATACTTTGTTTCGTCTGCCACTAAGAAATTATTCTCTGTATCTCTGACACCAAGATTTGAGTGTGGGTTTGTACTGCCTTACACAGGTTTGTTACAGCATCTTCAGAGTGCAAAAGAGGAAAAAATCCATGTACCTTATCATCAACAAGCTTTGTAAATGAGAAACTTTGGAGCTAAGGACCAGCTAAGAGTAGCCTCAGAGGAAGAACAGCTGCCTGTTTTTCATTTTTCTCCATCAGCACACTTTGATGTCATCTTTGATTGTTAAGAGCTCAAACAATTAAAATACATCTCTGGTGAGGACAGACACTTACCAGTTCCCTCATCTGCACCATTCTGAGCAGCTTCCCAAACTACTGGTTTTGTCCCACACCCATCTATAGATGGAGAATCTGAATAGTCCGCAGGATTAAATGTCCTTGGGTTTGAAATAAAAAATAAAGGCAAATGAAATAATCACAAAATTAACTGTATATCATCTTCCCTGAAATAAGCCCTGTCCCTCGCAAGAACCACTGTCAGAGACTTCATCCTCCTTCTCCTATTTAACCATAAGCCAATTCTTCTGGCTATCAGAATCTAGAGCTTCTAAAAAGCAGAGGCTGACTAGGGACTTCCATATACTCTTGTATGATGCTTCTACTTGCCTAAATTGTTATCCTCTGCATCCTAAAGCAGGCATGGAGACCTACAGGAGTTCTAGGCAGGGTAAAGGCTCTAACGAAAAACCCACCCACCCCCTGCCAGCTAAGCCTAGACCTAAATAGGCAACAGGTCTTTTCTTCCCAAATCAGAATCCAAGTTGGCTTTGAACCTTTTACAATAAATGATCCATTTTGTTTAGATGGGTATAAATAAAAAAGAAAACATTTTGCTCAGTGCTTCTTTTTAAATTAAAACCCTAAATACCCATGATTCAGATGCCTGTGCTGTGCTGTGCTGTGCTTAGTCGCTCATGTTCAACTCTACGCGACCCCATGGACTGTAGCCTGCCAGGCTCCTCTGTCCATGGGGATTCTCCAGGCAAGAATACTGGAGTGGGTTGCCATGCACTCCTCCAGGAGATCTTCCCAACTCAGGGATCGAACCCAGGTCTCCCACACTGCAGACAGATTCTTTGCCATCTGAGTCACCAAGAAAGCCCAAAAAAACTGGAGTGGGTAGCCTATCCCTTCTCTAGGGGATCTTTCCAAGCCAGGAATTGAACCGTGGTCTCCTGCAAGAGATGCCTAACTAGAACCAAATTAAATAACATTGCTAAAATTTTCACACCTTATAAAAAAATATTTTAGCATTATTGGGGTGTCACTGACAAAAAGAATCACAATAGCATTTTTTTTGAAGTGGAGGACAAAATCTACAAAATCCTTCAAAGCTACAAGGCTGGGCATGCATGTCCCAATGTTCCAGCCAACTTGCTTCCTGCGCTTTCATCCTTCTTTTGTCCACAGGGAGCTCAGGCAGAAAAGAGGTGGCAAGAGTCACCATCTGAAGGCAGTGACCCAAAACAGTGCTGCCGGGAAGCTATGACACAAAGGACTTTTCCTTTCTTGACTATCATCTACCTATGGTCTCTGTAAGACGCTTAAACACTTTTTATAGTGAGGGGGTGGCAGCTAATGCTTTAGATAACAGCAAAAAGTGAAAGAATAACCAGAAATAATGAATAACTGACTATACCATCTATTTAAAAACAATATACTCATCTTTCAGTATTACAATTCAAGATAAGGATGATTGTTTTTCATAAAAAATTTTTAAAAATTAAAAAAAAAAACATTGCATTTACTTACCATTCAAAGACAACTGCGGATTTACCAACATAATTCTTAAGCAATGGTTTTCAACTGGGGTGGTTGTGCACCTCCCTCCCAGGGAACATTTGGCGGTGTCTGGAGACATTTTTGACTGTCACAACTTGAGGAGGGGTGCTACTGGGATCTAGTAGGGAGAGGCCAGGGATGCTGCTAAACATCCTACAACGTAAAGGGGACCCCACCACCTCAATCAACTACTATCCAATCCAAAACGTCAATAAAGCAGGACTAAAAATCGCTCTAAGGCTTACTGCAACACAGTGTCATTTGTTCCATTTCATTTCTTTAGTATTTTCTCTTTTTAAACATAGAAAACATCTGACTCACCAGGATGGTTAATCAGGTACAGGATAGAGGAAGGGAGGCCTTAGAGATAACAAAAAGAGAAGGGAGCAAATTCAAAAACAGGATAGCTAAGACTTACCCCATGCCTTGGGTTGAGAATCTTCCTGCCCCTCTCCCTCTGCCACGCCCAAATCCTTTAAAAAAAAAAAAAAGTATAAACATAATACTTACGTTCCACACAACTATAACTCTACTAACTTCATCCCTTTCACACCTGCCCAAACATTACTGACATTGCTCCTAACAGCACCAACATTCCCAACCAGTACACCCAATCTGCAGGTCCCTGATGACACAAATACCTATTGATCTCAAAGGAGAAAAAAGAATTTAATTCTGCTTGTACAACATTTGTCATATACTGCAGCTTAACATAGGCAGGTTATGCTTTTAAAAATTCTAGATCTTTTTAAACACATCTAGTGTAAACACCATGATATCATAAGCCTCTACTATAAAATGAAATGAGAAACAAAAAGAGGAAACTACTAAGGAAGCTGAAGGTACTATTACATACCATTTTTAATACTAAGATTTTTGATAAATGACCAAGAGGGCAGCAAACGAGAGAGCAAGCAAGTAACAAGAAATAGTTTTATTCAATGACTCTTCGGTTTTTCTTAATTGAATCTTAAATTGTGTATTAATGAACTAAATCCAAGAGTTAAAACTACACAACCCTTAGAAGAAAATATAGAGCAAAAGCTTCATGACAGTAAATTTTGTAATAATTTCTTAGATATAACCCCAAGAATGAAAGGAAAGAGAGGAAAAAATTAGGTTTTAAACTGGTGAATCAAAAGACATGAACAGAGTAAACAGGCAACCCAAAGAATATCTGCACATTATACATTTGATAAGGGAGTAACATCACAAATACATAACGAAATTCTACTACTAACAAATAACCAGATTAAAAAATGCACAAGGGGGCTCTTCCCCGGTGGTTCAGTAGTAAAGAATCTGCCTGCCAATGCAGGAGACAAACGTTTGATACCTGATCTGGGAGGATCCCTCACGTCACGGAGCAACTAAGCCTGTGTGCCACAACTTTTGAGCCCAAGTGCCACAACTACTCAAGCTTTCGCGCCCTAGAGCCTGTGCTCTGCAACAAGAGAAGCCATCGCAATAAGACCGTGCACGGCAACCAGAGGAGCAGCCCTCACTTGCCGCAACTAGAGAAAAGCACTCTCAGCAACAAAGATCCAGAACAGTCAAAAATAAAGAAAATAATTTAAAAAGACAACAACAAAAAAGGCGTGGTGGGCAGGGAATGGACTTGAACAGATATTTCTCCAGAGATGATGTAAAAATGGTCGATAAGCACATGAAAATATTGTCACCATCACTAATCATTATGTAAACCCAGCACCAATTACAATGGCTGAGGCAGGGGTGTGGGGGTGGGGAGGAGGCAGAAAATAACAAGTGTTGGCAAGAACACAGAGAAATTAAAGCCTCTGTACACTGTCTGATGGGAATGTACAATAATGTAGCCATTGTGGAAAACAGTATGTTTGGCAATTCCCCTCAAAATTAAAAATAGAATTATATGATCCTTACAGCATAGGGAACTCTCCTCAATATTCTGTAATAACCTAAATGGGAAGAAAATTTGAAAAAGAATAGATATATGAATAACTGACTCACTTTGCTGTATGCCTGAAATTAACACAGCATTGTAAATCAACTGTTGTTGTTTAACCTCTAAGTGGTATAAGACTCTTTGTGACCCCATGGACCACATACAGACCACCAGGCTCCTCTGTCCAGGGGATTTCCCAGGCAAGAACACTGGAGTGAGTTACCATTTTCTTCTCCAGGGGATCATCCTGGGGATGGAACCTGTGTCTCCTGCATTGGCAGGCAGGTTCTTTACCAGGAAAGCCACCAGGAAAGCCCAAATCAACTGTGGTCCGATATAGAATTTAAAAAAAATTTTTTAAGGGAAAAAAAAAAATCATATGATTGCTTCTGGGTGTGTGTATGTGTGTATGTGTGTATCTACAAGATAATTTGAAAGCAGAGTGTTAAAGAGATTTGTACGCCCATGTTCACATTCACAGAAGCCTTACAAAAAGGTAGGATCAACCCAGGTGTCCATCAAAGAATGAATAGATATGCAAAATATGATATATACACACAATGTAATATCATTCAAATATAAAAAGGAAGGAAGGCTTCCCTGGTGGCTCAGCAGTAAAGAATCTGACTGCCAATGCAGGAGACACAGGTTCCATCCCTGTTCCAGGGGAATCCCACATACTGCGAAGCAACTAAGTTTGTGCGCTGTAACTATTGAGCCTGTGCTCTAGAGCCTGGGAGCTGCAACTACTGAAGCCTGCAACTTAGAACCCAGAAGCACATGAACTGCAACTACAGAGTACCCCCGGCTTGCCGCAACTAGAGAAAGCCCTTGCAGCAACAAAGTCCTAGCCTAGCCAAAAATAAGTAATTCTTTTTCAAAAAAGGAAAGAAATCTTGATAAATGCTACAATATGACTGAAACTTGTGGATATTTTGCTATGTGAAAACAGGCCAGTGACAAAAACAAATATTTCATGATTCCATTTAGTATTAAGAGTACTCAAATTCAGAGAAAAGTTGTTGTCAAAGGATATATTCACCATACTAATACAATTAAATGTATATTTAATCATGTACAGTTAACTTACCCAGTAGTCCAAGGTAAACTATTAAAAAATATGGTCTTGACAAAAATCTACAAGAGACAGGGGAACAGAGGAAAATGTCCTAAAAAGTAGAAAAATTCTAATAATGCCTATTATTAGAAATGTCTATTTTAACATCATCAAAAGGCAAAAGTAAGACTTTAAACAGCATACCACAGTCTAAAAGAAGGTCAGAAACTGGAGTAAAAAAAAAAAAGAAAGCTTTCAATGTACAAGTTTGGGCAAGATTACAACCCAAAATTTAGGAATAAGATAATTTATCCTTAAAGTTAAGGATGATAAGATGGGAGGAGGAAAGACACCATATAAGCTTTAAAAAAAAAAAAAAACAAATCTTAGTATATAATAAAATGGAATATTATTTGGCTATAAAAAAAAATGAAGTACTTATACATGTACAAAATTGTGCTGATATGAAGTAGAACATCAATGAACCTTTAAAACATTACACTAGGTCAAAGAAGCCAGTCTGAAAGGGCACATATTACTAGATTCCATTTACACTGCATGTCCAGAACAGACAAATCTATAAACGCAGAAAGCAGATTACCAGTTGTTTATTGCTGGGATTGGGGTGGTGAGAAAGAAGGAGGAATTGGGAATCAATAGTTTTTATTATGGTGATGGCTGCATAACTGTATTAATGTTGTTGTTCAGTCACTAAGTCCTGTCCAACTCTGCGACCCCATGAACTGCAGCATGCCAGGCTTCCTTCCTGTCCTTCACTATCTCCTGGAGTTTGCAGAGTTTGCGCAAACTCATATCCGTTGAGTTGCTGATGCAATCCAATCATCCCATTCTCTGTCACCCCTTCTCCTCCTGCCCTCAATCTCTCCCAACATCAGGATCTTTTCCAATGAGTAGCCTCTTTGCATCAGGTGGTCAAAGTATTGGAGCTTCAGCATCAGTCATTCCAATGAATAATCAGGGTTGATTTCCTTTAGGACTGACTGATTTGGTTTCCTTGCTGTACAAGGGACTCTCAAGAGCATTCTCCAGCATAATTTGAAACCATCAGGTCTTTGGCGCTCATCTTTTTTTGCTCCAACTCTCACATTCATACAGGACTACTGGAAAAACCACAGCTTTGACAACAGTTGACCTTTGTCAGCAAAGTGATGTCTCTGCTTTTTAATACACTGTCTAGACTTGCATAGCTTTTCTTCCAAGGAGCAATAATCTTTTTATTTCATGGCTGCAGTCACAAGAAAATAAAATCTGCCTCTAACATAATTCTATAAATAAACTAAAACCCACTGAACTATGTAATTTAAATGGGTGAATTGTATAGTATGTAAAAAAATTTTAGGCTACAAGAAACTGTTACCAGTGAAGAAATCTAAAGAAACAATACAACTGCTCTTGAGAAGTGCACCCATTCAATGGCATACTATGTGACAAAAGGCACCAACAAGTGGTTAAATATTAATAGTGGTAAATTTTTAAAAAATGATTCTAAGACATCATCAAATAATATCTAATCCTTGAGTCAGAAAGCAAAATGTACATGAAAGAAAAGACAGAAATTTGTAAAAGAAAAACATAATCTAAGGACCAAAACTCAAGAAATCCTGCGAGTTCCCTGGAAAAAGTCAGTACCAACTACGTATCTCCATGTCTCCAGACAACAGCAGTCGCACCAAACAATGACACAGGAACAACCCAAATATCTTGAGCAGATTTTCAAAAATCAAATCCAGGACTTCCCCAGTGGTTCAGAGGCTAAAGACTCCACACTCCCAATGTAAGGGGCCTGGGTTCCATCCCTGGTCCAGGAATTAGAGCCCACATGCTGCAGCGAAAGATTTGCATGCTGCAACTTAAAGAACCTGCATGCAACAATGAAGATGGAAGGTCCCACATGCTGCAAAGACATACCGCAGCCAAATTAAATAGAAATCTATTTTAAAAAATAAAATCCATATTCACATACATTTTAACAAGCTAACAAAGCTGTTCCTTCCTTTTCACCTGGTTAGTAATGCTACCAGAAATACTGTTTTTGGTGTGTGTACATTTCCCTTTATCGTGACCTGGTACAAATACCTGTTTTCATCTAACAGCTCAGAAGAAAGACCTGGGTTCATAAAATAAAGAAAAACAAGATTAAAGTAGATAACCATAAAGAATAAATAAATGTTATGATAATGCTAAACCTTTACTCATAGAGGTCTCTCTAGTGACTTGAATAACTGCTCAAATCTTTAATTGTTTAGTATTATGTATTACAGTGCGAACCAGAGTAGAAAAGTTGCTCACTTCCCTTGAAAAAAGCCAAAACACAGAAGACACCTAATCATCTTTACTAGAAGAAGCAAATCCAAATAACAGATACTCCCCCAGGGCCAAACATGTGCAACCTAAAGAAAAATAAGTAGAAAGCAATCCCGCTCTCATCCCCAGGAGACTGTAAGCAGGGCTTTGATAACAGGCAAATTTGCCAGAAACTGTGTGCACCTGAACTTATCACTGCACACTCTAGGTCATGATCTTTAAGATCCTAAAGATGTTAAAGTTTAGTTAAAGTTAGTTCTAAAGTTTTTTGTACTGGCAAAAGTTCCCAGATTTTCAGAGCTGGTTCAATGATAAAGATGGCTACTGTGTTGACAATGAGCTGCCCACCTGCCCAGAGACCAGTTTAGCCCAACAGGGCATCTCTGGGGATTGTTTCACACAGAGACTTAGGACTCAGGCAAGTTGTCCCTGGTTCAGGCTTCATCTACAGAAAAATAGGAATATATCTTTCCCAACTGTAAAGTAGCATAAATGAGTCAAATGACAACAGCAAATGCCCCAGGAATTCAAAGAGGAAGAAAGCTTATTTAGAGTCTATCCTCATGTCTCATATATTAGCTATTCTTTAGCAAAAAAGTCCAATTATAAATGTGCCACAATAATTATTTCAAGAAAGAATTAATGGATTCTAATACCAGTGAAGGAAAGTCTGATGGGAAAAGGGTCATTTACAGTCTCAGAGCACTCTCCTGAAAAAAAGATGTATTTATTACAAAGAAGGAAGGAGTAACTTTACAAAGGAGAAACTTGGCAGAAACAGTGTACCAGGTCACTTTCCTCAAAGCTAACATCACTAGTAATGGGATAAATCTGTATCGTGTACCCTCTAATATGATATACTGAGCAAGATAGCTATATCATTCTGTGGCATTCCTACCAAAAACCAGTAACATGAATCTAATCATGAGGAAACTTCTCAGATTGTTAATGTGAAGGTCTTTCTACAAAACAGACGCTCCAAAGTGTCATCAAGGCCATGAAAGACAAAGAAAGACTATTCCAGATGGATAAACAGTTCTAGATTGAACACTAAACAGACATGGGAAATAAAAACTGTGTGATCTCTGCTGGATACTGGACAAGAATATTTGCTTGCTACTAAGGACATTAGCAGGATAACTGGAAATTTTTGAGTAAGGCCAATAGATTGTAACAACAGTAATTTCCTGATTTTATAATTTTAAGGTAATTCTGTAAGCAATACCTTTTTTCTTAGGAGTTTACACACTGAAATATTTAGGGGTAAAATGGCATTACATTTGAAATGCACATACAATGACTTCCGGAAAAAAAATAATACATACATATAGAGAAAACGACAATGCAAATGTAGCAAAATATTAAAAAGTTTGGGGACTATGGGTAAACACTCTACACAAAATTCTGCTGTTTTTTTATTTTAAAATAAAATGTTAAATGTATATTGTGTAATCCAGTAAATATTAGGTTGGTGGAAAAGTAACTGTGGTTTCAGACCATGAATTTTAAATCACTGTAACTAGGCTCAAATACATCTTTATTAATCAAAATAGGAACTATTACAGTCAACATGTTTTTGCCATGAGAAATAAGTTTATTACTGTAGCATAAAAATCCGTGTTTCAGAATTTGATGAACTCTTGGGAATCATTTTCTGCCTTGTGTTGATTGTGGAAACATTTTCCCTGCAAAAAGTTGTCGAGGTGTTTGAAGAAGTGGTAGTCGACTGGCAAGAGGTCAGGTGAGTATGGAGCATGAGGCAAAACTTCATAGCCCAATTTGTTCAACTTTTGAAGCACACTGGTTGTGCAACATGTGGTCAGGCAGCTACACCCACATCATGTTAACTACTGAGACTGTGCACTCTGGAGTCAGTGCACCACAACTAGAGAGGGAAGCGCACACACTGCAAAGAAAGATGCCCCGTGTTCTCAAATAAGACCTGACACTGTCAAATAAAAAAAAAATTTTTAAGAAAAAGAAATCAACTACAAAGACATTTTTTAAATAATCAGGAAAATTTATGTATAGATTATTAGATGATATTTTTAAGTGCGAAAACAGCATTATGGTTACATATAAAATCACATAATTTTTTAGAGGTGCTTACCACAGTAATATGTGATAAAATATCCACAAAAATCTACTTTAAATATTTCTGCAGACAAGAAAGGTAGAAATATATAGAGCATATATATTTGGCTAAAATCCTTAAACATTACTGATTAAACAGGAAGGGACTCACGGTTGATTTATTCTCTCCATTTTTCTCAGTGCTTGAAATTAATAAGAAAAAATCTAGAAAAGGGAATTACCATTGAAATCTGTTTTTAAAGCACAACCTTGTTTTCACTGTGCCCAACAAATCGTCTATAATTCTGCCCTTTTCTGATCTCTGAAAATTATTTACTTTTGGCCCACATAGTAGAAATTTAGTAAATGCTAACTGGATGAATAGCCAAGGGAATTCATAGCATATGCAGTAAACCTACATTAATTTCTATCCCTAATATTGCTGATTAAAAGAAATTCTGCCACTTGTAAAATGCTCATTTGGAGAACAGCCACAACTGAGTGGAACAATGGATTAAACAAAATGTCGGTCAATTCAGGCAGCTTTACTGAACCAAAACAAGATCTTCCTATTACATTATTTATCTTGATTTTTAGAGCCCTAAGAAAATTCAGTTACAACTCTAAATATGTGGAACTACAGTCTTGAAGGCGCTTAATGACATCCTGAATTAATAAGTGCAAAGAAATGATCACTAACAGAAAACATTGGATGGGGTAATCAGTGGGCAAATAATTTTAAAACTATGATCATATGGGTAGAACACATCTGTTAAAAGTCCAACACAGGAGAACTTAATAACTTTTTGGTCAGAGCTTCAATTTTTTTTTTATTTATTTTTATTAGTTGGAGGCTAATTACTTTACAATATTGTAGTGGTTTTTGCCATATACTGACATGAATCAGCCATGGAATTACATGTATTCCCCATCCCAATCCCCCCTCCCACCTCCTTCTCCACCCCATCCCTCTGGGTCTTCCCAGTGCACCAGGCCCGAGCACTTGTCTCATGCATCCAACCTGGGCTGGTGATCTGTTTCACCCTTGATAATATACATGTTTCGATGCTGTTCTCTCAAAACATCCCACCCTCGCCTTCTCCCAGAGTCCAAAAGTCTGTTCTATACATCTGTGTCTCTTTTTCTGTTTTGCATAGAGGGTTATCATTACCATCTTTCTAAATTCCATATATATGCGTTAGTATACTGTAATGTTCTTTATCTTTCTGGCTTACTTCACTCTGTATAATGGGCTCCAGTTTCATCCATCTCATTAGAACTGATTCAAATGAATTCTTTTTAATGGCTGAGTAATATTCCATGGTGTATATGTACCACAGCTTCCTTATCTATTCTTCTACTGATGGGCATCTAGGTTTCTTAAAAATATGGAACGCTTCACGAATTTGCATGTCATCCTTGCGCAGGGGCCATGCTAATCTTCTCTGTATCGTTCCAATTTTAGTATATGTGCTGCCGAAGCGAGCACTCAAATTTTAAATTATTCACACAAAGAGCCTTTCTCAGCTCATCTGAAAACAACCAATAGGGTTACTCAAAATTATATAATTCAAACATTTCACTTATAGGCATCAATAAATGAATCAAAAGATTTCAGATCAACCGTTCTTTCAGAGTAAACTGCCCTTAGTGAACTAAGTATATGAACAGCCTGCCTCCTTCTCCCCATCACAAGTATCTTCTTCCTCCTCATTCTCTTACCTCTACCACGAGCTCGCTTGCCTCGATCTGAAGGCTTGTCCCCTTGATTGCAATCAATTCCATTCTCTTCACCTCTAACTAAAGTGAAAAAGAACAAACAGCTACTAAAGACAAGGGCAAAAAAAAAAAAAAGACAAGGACAAAAAGACTCCTTCTGCCCCTCAACAAACAACAAAAAGGTGTTTTAAAAAAGGTTAAAGGTTAACCAAAGGGTTTGGAAAATACGATAAAACCAAGCCAGAGTGGCGCAAAAAACTGACACCAGAACGTTCTTGCTTAATTTGTAGGTGAAAATTCAAAAAGAAATCAAAATGACATACTACTTTTTTTTGTTTGGACTTGCCCTCCTATAAAGTTAAGTTTCCTTCCAAAAAAATACCTTTGTTATGTAATGATATGCAACAAAATGTACTCATTGGTCAAGTTCAAAGCCTGGAAAAGCAAAGACTAGCCAACTGCAATACCAAAGAAATACTTAGTTCTTGGGGAAATTAACTGTTAACACAGTCTTTCCTTCTCCTCGTTCCTATACTGGCATTAGTGACTCTATATAATGTAGAATCTTCATCAACAGTGCTGGCACAGCTTACTCCCCTCTTTCAGGGCTTAACTCTGCAAGTTGTCAGTGAGGCCTTCCATGGCCAATCTCTTTACATTTGTCAAACCCCTATTTATAATTCCCACCTCTCTGCCTTTGTTTTTCCCCAGAACATAATTTCCACATAATGCCATTAAAATACTCTAATATTAATATGAAATGTTACTTTTCTTTTTTATTATTACACCTCACACTACCCCCCTTAAAAGTCTTAGAGCAGGGGCTTTCCTGTGGTCCAGTGGGCTAAGATTCTGTGCTCCCAATGCAGGGGCCCCAGGTTCAATCCCTGGTCAGGGAACTAGATCCCACATGCCTGCAACTAAAGATCTAGCATGCCACAACTAAGACCCAGCACAGCCAAATAAATACATAAATAAAAGTATGTATGTTTTTTAAAAGTCTTAGAAGGGCAAAGATTTCTGTATTCTTCATTGCTGTATGCCTTTAAGAGTATCTTCTACATTGTAGATACTCGATAAACAGCTGTGGAATAAATAAACTAGCAAAAGTTTGTAAGGGGACATGTTAAATATTTATATTCCATTCATCCATAATTTAGTTACTTTGGTATGCCTGCACAGAAGGTAGTGTTGTTCTGGGTGAATGATGCCAAAACGTGAGTTGAATGGAAAGTACTGAGAAAAATCTTCCCTATTCAAAAAATTTCCTCTTAATCTAAACCCTGCAAATACCATGAATATCCATAAATAGGGAAGAATAAACAGCTTTATCTATCAGCCAACAAAAAAAACCCTTCTTTAAAATTAAAGATGCACTGGATTAGAGAAGGCAGTCTTAAGACACAACAGAACTACCTATAGCCCAGGTCAGTGCTAATATGAAACTGCATCAGCTGGGTTTCTAATCAACTACTCAGTTGTAGCTAAGTGTTACTTATATTAACAAATACTGCATTAAGGAAGTGGATTTACAGGCATTCACTGAATCATTCTGACAGCTCTTTAGTATGCATGAAGTGTTCGTAAAGCAGAGCTGAGGCTGAAGGTCTGTACTTACACTCTCTCCCGCGACTGCCACCTCTTACTTTCCGGCTGTTGTTTCCACGTCCACGGCTCACTTCTCTCTCACTTCTCTTCTCTCTATTCTCTTTGTTTTCTGAACTTTCTTTTCCAAAATTCTTCTTCTTCCCTCCTACAGTCTCCCATGAAGTCTACCAAAAATAAGAGCATTTATTCAGAGCTGTCACTTAAAGTGTGTACAATCATCAAGGGTGTGTGCATTTACCTTTTGAACCTAATTATCCACACTTTACACCTTGCATGCCTACCATTCTAATTATTCTCCATAAACATACTGTACTTTCTAATGATAAAGACAGCAAATCTCTTGCTAGGTTCCTATTGCTATGGAGAGCACAAAAGATTACAGCACTAGCTTAACTGACAATATACTGTATGTTGTCCCACGACAGAGCCTTTTTCTATACTGATAAGAATAAAGCAAATGTTATTTCCCCAAGCTCCCACTCTATACCATCCCCACCTTTATTAACAGGCCAAACACCTATTAATATACAGAACTAGTTCAAAGACTAAGATTTTACCCTAAAATCCCAGGAATACAATTTTCCCTATTCAGTTGTCTAAGGTAATCATCGTAAAGAGTTTAGCGGTTGACAAATTTGAGGGTCGTTTTAAGTACAGAAAATTTCAGCCCCCAAAGACTGTTCTAATGAGAAGTTAAATGATTTATATAACCTCCTTTCTCCCACAAATCAAATCATACGCATAAAAATCGTGGAGAAAAGAATGAAACACTATGTTCTTACAGATATGAGTATTAGGCTATCCATCAGGATGTTGCTGGGAAATCCCAAAACTGACCCATTCATTTCTATTTACTTTTCCATAATTTACTCACAAGGGATTTGAAGTGATTCAATTTCAAACTAAGCAATAACTATTTTAAACTTGAAAAAAAAAATCATCATCCAAATAAATGTAAGTGCATAAAATGATTGGATGTGGAAAAAATACAAATTAAAGCAAGTTATTTTCCACCTCTAAGCATTGATAAATGTTTAAGAAAATCAACAGCCAATAGTTACGGCAGAATAATCAGGTATTCTCAGTTCTGATGAACATCTATCCATTCTAACCTTCCACAAAATCTACCTGGCAATAGCGTCCAAATTTTATATTAGTTCAAAACTTCTGGCCCAGTAATTCTACTTTTTGGTTTTTATTCAGAGGAAATAATCTGATAATTGCACAAACATTTATATGCAGACAATGAACAACAGAACAAAAGGATGGAAAATTTCCCAAATATTTAGCTTAACAGACTACCTACTCTAGAACATTCATACAGTGAGAAATATATAGCTAGTTAAAGAGTAATCCATGTGTTCACAGAAAGAAAGCCATAATATATAAGTGACGCAAGCGATCAGCAAACTGTGTAAAATAGGATTACATTTTAAAGCTCAAATAGGAGCTTGTGTATTGCTGGAAAAAGTAGTAGTTATCTAAGTGAGGGCCTTTTAAGATCATTTACCTTTTTTATTGTTCTGCATTGTTTTTTAATTGGCAAAATAATAAAGCTTATTTATTCCAGAAAAGAAATTCCACAGCATATAAACTCTACCTATTATTTTCGCTTATATGAATAAACATGACAAATATGTAAGACAGAATCCCATCTTCTAAGATTATCAAGACAAAAGGTAAATTTTAGAGGTCTTGGAAAAATTACACACAGCAGAGTCAGCACAAGATGCAAATCTATACGGTGTGTGTCTTCGCAAGGTCAGACCTAAAGGCATTCAATCATTACTAAAGGACAGATTTCTATATAATACATTTGAAAGACAGTAACATCTTACCCTGTTTTCATTCAGCAAAGGATACCCCTATAACTGACCAGAACTTATCTGGGGAGGAAGGCAGGGCAAGGAACCTTTAAGGGGCAAATGGACTAACACCACAGTGAATGCTAAAGAATACAACTGCACGTTCTGCAAAAGTCTACATGCATGCACATAGGCTTTCAAAGAAAACCAAATAATTACAAAAGATTTTCAACAGAACTTCTGGCAACCTTTGTCATCTGTATTTTGCTACCTGTATAATAGGTATCATCTTCCAAGATACCATATTTAGCAATCAGAAAAGCAGCTGTCCAGGCTAGTTCATTCAAAATCACTCTCCTACCCCTTTATATTTGCCAAGAAGTAAACAACACAAACAGGTTTCCCAAGTGGCTCAGTGGAAAGGATCCGCCTGCCAATGCAGGCAACACAGGAGATGCAGGTTCAATCCCCGGGTCGGAAACTTCCCCTGGACAGGGAAATGGCAACCCAATCCAGTATTCTTGCCTAGAAAATCCTGTGGACAGAAAAGCCTGACAAGTTACAGCCCACAGGGTCACAAAGTGTTGGACACAAATGGGCACACACCATACACACATAAGAAATAAAAACAAATATACATATATATATATATATATTTTTTTTTTTTAAGCGCACTAATGCAAGAGACTTAAACTTCAAAACTATTTGTCACACAAACAAAACAGCACTATAATGAAATGAAAAGTTCAGTACTTAAGATTCTGTTCAGTGGTTTCCTTGGACAACTACTCTTATATTAGACAAATGCACCCCTACAGATAGTGAGGACAAGTCCACTTAACATTTTTTCAAAGTAACCATTTTCTTTCAGAAGGCCTTGTTACAAAACAAGATTAGCCAATATGAAAAGATTTGTTTGCTTTCATAGTTTATTTTGAACAGTTCCTGCTCCTAGCAATCAATCCTACCATGTTCATATTCTCCAACAGCCCACTCCAAATAATCTACCGCAGGCAGGGGAAGATATTCCTTACAGCTGGTTACCCATGGCTGCTGCAGACAACAAAGTAAGAACAAGGCAAACAGGATGAAAGATGGACCACAGAATGATTCTAAACAAACCAGGGTTCCAAAAGGAACCTCTGCCTCTCTATTTCCCCTGTAGCCCTCTCACCTCCAAATAGGCAAAGGTCTTTTGTGTTTGTGTTCAGGCTCTAATTTGCAAGTTTCCAATCTTTTAAGAAGACAACATGGCAGATCAACCCCCCAACTGTGTGATTTCTAGGTTCTAGAGATAATCAAAGAGACTTTTAAAACTTTCGGCCCAGAACCACCTCCTTTGAGTTCAGTTCCAAATGAGAGAGGAAAGTTGAAACTATTGAGATAGAATTGGATGTTCACTAGAGACTTAGAAGATTAACCCGGCCACCACAGAAAATAAATGATGAATCTGTGGGAGCTAAGGGCAAGGCAAGAGAAAACAGAATCCAGGCCTATTTTGACCATATAAAAGAAAACAGGCCCCTCAATTAACAATCTGGAAATATTTCATTTATTCAGTGCTTTTTTTTTAAAAAAAAAAAAGGGCAATTCAGTCCTTCAGTTCATTTTAAAAAATAAGTGAGACCCATTCTACACTGCATCCATTAGCAAATGGGCTGAACACTCCCCATATGTTATAAAACCCGGCAAATACATGCCTTAAGTGTCAGCAAACAAGCACTCTTCAAAATTTGATTTACTCACTTAACATCATGCATTTTCCTGATAAACTGACATATTTGGTAGTTTTATCATGTTGGACCAGTGTTATCTTGCACAGAATTTTACCCACAGATACTGTTATACTCAAAAAATGAAGTATTTTCTCAATTATCTGATGTTTATAATTATAAATCTCATTCCACCTGCTTTCCTATTAAATAAAGATACTCATTTCAGTTTTGAGCTTGTCACAGTAGTTCACAGTAGTTCATAGAGCCTGTGCCTAACAAAGTCTACCCATAAAAATGAGAACCTTATTAAACCTAAAAAATGATAAGGAAGACACTTTTTGATGTGCTCATCTTTATATCCTATTTAGGGATGAATGACTGTTTTCATCTGCTCTGAAGTTTATTTCCTCGGTGAAAAAATACAAATGAAATACTGTGTAATTTCTATTTAGAAATCAAAAGATCAGAACTGACACCTGCCTCTGTTGTGGTTTTAGCAGCACCCTTTCTAAAATACAAAGGGAGGAGCTTTAGAGTGCATGTACATTCCTCAAACTTTACAAAGCTTAAAAAAATTTTTTTTCTTATTTTATATAGCTGTCAGATTGTCATGAAAATGTGTCTGACACATAAGCAAATAGATATACCAGCAAATCCTGATTTTTCTGTTAACCTAGAGATATAAGGAGTAGCAAGAGGTGATAATTGAGATGAAGGAACATGAGCAGTGGAGCCAAGAAGTTTTTCAGGTAGTGAAAATGCCCACAGGCCCAGAGAATTTTGACAACTGTGTAAGGCTGGATTAGATGACCAAGTTCTCTTTAGAGTCTTCAGATTCTACAACGTCATGAAGAAACCATACGTACATATCAAAACAAACATTTCTGGTTAGTGTTCTTTCTGGTTCTAAAACATATATGGAATGGCACCCATAATCCCCTCTACCTCCACCAAGTAAGGTAAAGCTGAAAATGCAGTATGAAACTGGAGACAAAGTTTAGCAATGTAAATCAATTAGTAACACTTACAGTGTCTGAATTTCCCTCCAGCAATATGTTGATAGCTTTGTTGACATCTCCATTACAGTCATGTAGAGCCACAATGCATTCATCCTGATTTTTTCCTGTCACCTCCATAAGCTGTTGAAATTATAAGAAAATGATTAGGGGAACCCAAAATTGGCACTTTATATTAATTTTAAGATTCTACTATATAAAGACAAAGATTAGGCAATCCTTCCACATGAAGATGGCCTCTTCCAGACTCTGAGCGTACAATCTAAGGTCAGGTTTACTTGCTTTTTGTGGTGACTCCATGTCTTTCCACCAAAACTGGCAAAGTCAAGCTACAAATCAACCTTCCTCCAAGCTGACCAAGCATCAGATTCTTAATCAGCAGCATATATATACATACATACCAACATTCTCAGAACACTCAGGATCAGCTTTATGACTGCTCAAACTAGTTTACAGGCCTGGGATTCCCAAGTTTCTAAACTACTCAAATGTTAAGTGGGACTATATATATTTCAAAAAATACTGGAGTGGGTTGCTGTTTCCTTCTCCAGGGGATCTTCCTGACCCAGGGATCGAACCTGGGTTTCCCTCACTGCAGGCAGAATCTTTACAGTCTAAGCCACCATAGAAGCCCTCCCAAAGACTAAGTATGAGCATATGGCCACAACTGCCAAACATCCAGTCCAGCTGCTTGCATTGCACAATAGTCTAGCAGTCTCTGACGATGTTCTCTACATGGGCTATCACTGCGTGGTTTAGAACAGCCCACATACAAAACAACCTATAACACTTTAGTGAGAGTCACTCAGTCGTGTCCGACTCTTTGCAACCCCCTGGACTGTGGCCCGCCAGGCTCCTCTGTCCATAGGATTCTCCAGGCAAGCGTACTGGAGTGTGTTGCCATGCCCTCCTCCAGGGGATCTTCCCAAGCCAGGGATTGAACCCAGGTCTCCTGCATTGCAGGTAGATTCTTTACTGCCTGAGCCACCAGAGAAGCCCTATAACACTCTAAGGTCTCACAATTAGAATTTGGCAGCTATCACAAAACTCACTCTTGGACATACTATTTTCTGAAGTGGCCTCAACAGGGTACTATTGTTTGAAATTAAAGAAATCTCCTTGGTAGACTCCCTTTAACAAGAGATACTAAGCTATTTAATATGTTCAACACAAGGAACAACCACAGATTAGGCACAATATAGGTTTCTCAATTATTAGTGAGCAAATGTATGATCTAAATATTTGCTGTGTTTAACTACATTTAACTATTTCAATATGCACCAATATCAGCCACATTTCAAAATACTTTGACCCCAACATCTGAAATGATTTCTCTGTGGTCATAAAACAATTAGTCTATCAAAAAGGCAGGTCTCCTGATCTCGTAAATACAGCTCTTTATACCAACCCATTCCATCCGATTTCCTTCCTGTGTTACCCAGTAAGGCTGTATACACTCTACAGCTTTCCAGTGCTTCAGTCTTTGGATGTCTACTAACGAGGTTAGATTTTTATCAAGGATCTGTAGTGGCCCAACAACCATCACATGCAGTTATTAAGATGTACAGTTACTGTTCAAATTCCCCCAGTGACTGGATTAGTAAAAGAGAGAACCATCCTCAAACTTAAAGCTCTGAACTCCTGTACCAGTGCTCTTGTTTGTGTGTCTGCCATGCTCTTCAGGTAAATATGTAGAAGTATGTCTCAAATAATTCATAAACCTCACTCCAGTTGATGAGGTCTATGACTTTTTAAGAAATCCTTTCTACGGCTTTCCAAAAGTATCACTTTAAGTCTAAAGACAGCAACTTAGGTAAGAACAGAGTTTACTGCAGTAAAGCACTGAAAGGTTCACCAAGGGACTTTCATTACAAGGAATTATTGGTAGATGTCTACCAAGGTAAGGGTTATAGCTCAGTTCCTAGAATCTTGAATGGAAAGAAACTCTTATCAAGAAAGAATAACATGAAATTAATGTTACCTCACTGAAGTTCTAAATGAAGACATCACCCTAAAATGTAATAACTCTTCCAATCTATGTTTGGAATCATCACAATATGTGCAAAAGCAATTTAGCTCTTCCTTAACATCCAACAGAATTTTCTGAGAATTTGTCAAATACTAAATATACTCTCTATACACAAGTATATACAATGTCAGCCTGCTTTCACAAATGCTCATTGTTCACATGTAACACTAATAACTCAGAAAGGTTCTGCTGCTAAAATTGCTTCAGTCTAGCCACCAATACAGGTATTTAATCACCGGTTCAAAATCCAATTATTTGCAACTAAGCAAAATGTAATTTAAAATAAGACTCTAATGAAATTACCTTTTAAAGCACAGTAAAATAGATTACAAAAATAAGAGTATCCTTTGCCAGAAAAATACCTGTTTAACTTTAGCTTCAAACTCTGAATCATTTTTATCAAAGATCACTTGAGCAAGACGCATCTGTTCAGCTGTTGCCTGGAAAATCAAATACAATTGTTAAAGATTTAATGCCAAAACCTGGTGCAAACTGATTAAAGTTCTCAATCACTATGGTTACAGAAATACTGATTAACTAAAAAAACAAAAGGACTCTGAATTTAGACCTCTTAAGTGCATATAATGTGTTCCCATAAAATAAATAAGTACCAAATTAAATAGCATAAAAGTCCCATTCCTTTGGCCAAATGACCTAAATAAAGTCCTGTTCATTTTCATTAGCCATGTGACTCATTTAAATTTTCTTTTTTGAATTTTCTTTCCCTTGAAGAGAAGAAGTTACAGCATAACAGAAAGTGGAAGAACAGGAAGCAGTGCAAACTTCCAAAATACAGGCTTAAGACCCAGCCTTGCTGTCAAAAATCAAAAGAGCTTTGCTATCAACTCAAAAAAGACCAGTTCTGAAGAGAAGGCTGTACTTACCTAAATGAAAACTTTTAAGTTACATTTTTATTTTTAGCCAGTTTTTATAACAATTTTCATTTAACAGAATTTTTAAAGAACCAACTTTCAAACACTAAAATTAGTCAACTACAGAGAAAATTCTTTTCCAGCTGCTTTTTTCACTCAAAACCATTTTTCTAAAAAAAAAAAAAAAAAGACCAAGTTACTGAATTTTTGAGGTTTACTTTTGTAGTATTTCTGCCAATTAAAAATTTAGAAAGGTATTTAAAAAAAAAAGTAATTCTTGGGAATTCCCTGGAGGTCCAATAGTTAAAACTCTGCACTTTCACTACCGAGGGCATGGGTTCAATCCCTGGTCTAAGATCCCACAAGCTGCATGATGCAACAAAAATAAATAAATAAACAAAAATTAAAAGTTTTTTTTAAAACTTGAAAGAAAATCTGAAAAGGTAACTCTTGTGCAGTGAGTTAACAGCAACATACCAATTTGGTTCCTTGGCTGTGACAAAGGTACCATAATTGTGACAATAAAACCAGATGAGGGATATACTGGAAATCTCTGGTCTCTCGGCAACATTCTAATAAATCTAAAATTACTCCAGGGCTTCCTTGGTGGCTCAGTTGTGAAGAATCTGCCTGCCAATGCAGGGGACACAGGTTTGATCCCTGGTCCAGGAAGATTCCACATGCAGCAAGGCAACCACAACTACTGAGCCTGGGAGCCACAACTACTGAGTCCACAGACCCTAGAGCCCATGATCCTCACTAGAGAGCAGCCCCCACCACTAGGAAAAAGCCCATGCAGCAACGAAGACCTAGCACAGACAAAATAAATAAAAAACTATTTTGGAGTAATTTTATTTAAGTAAAGTTACTACTGCTAGCTAAAATCTATATTAACTCCTAACATAAACGTTTTTAAAGTTAAATCATTTAAATTACTGAATGAGCTTGGGGTGGGGGATTCACTAAATGCTAATAAAAAACAGCTTTTCATCTTTGCTTTTAATATAGATTCATAATAATCTTGACAGTGGGGGTGAGGGGACTGTTAGCATTTTGAACAATTTATAAAAACACTTTTCATAAGACCTTTCCAGTTCATGTGCGTGGCTGATTATTCAAGCCCCAGATAGCTTTGGCCAGTTCCCTCCAACCAAATGGCCAATCCTTTGATCCCAACCTATGCCTGCTGTGATCTCAGCTGAAGTGCTAGTACATTACAGAAAGATGTTTACATTATAGAAACACTGTCTACACATATGGCCAATTTTACCTCAATCCTCATCAGTATACATAAGGGCCTTAGTGCCACAGTCTAAAGAACAAGGTATGAAATAACGGAATGAGGCAAAAGGGAAAACCAAAGGGGAAAATGAGTTCTGGAAAGATGGCACTTCCACATTACACATCTGAGTTTTGGGGAGTGGCAAGCACTTATGAATCAAAGTACACCACTGGGACAAGGCTTCCCTGATGGTCCACTGGTTAAGAATCTGCCTCACCATGCAGAGGACACAGGTCCAATCCTTGGTACAGGAAGATCTCACACACCACAGAGCAACTAAGCCCAGGCACCACAACGACTGAGCCTTCACTCTAGAGCCCTCAAGCCACAACTACCGACCCACGCGACGTGGAGCTCAAGCCATGCCCAACAGGAGAAGCTTCTGCAACAAGAAGCCCACGCACCACACCCAGAGAGCAGCCCCCACTCGCTATACCTAGAGAAAAGCCTGAGCACAGCAACATGACCCAGCGCAGTCAAAAGGAAAAATAAACAATGTTTAAAAACCCACTGGGATTTAAAAAAATGAATATATAAACTATATGTATATGAGAATCATTCTGCTGTAGAGCAGTCAATAACTCATTGTAAATCAACTATACTTCTATAAAAATAAATAATAAAATTAAAAATAAATTTTTAAAAAATGAACTAAACCATTAGGGCTCTTCGTGCTAAAATCCTACATGATTAATTTCTGTCCATTTTCCCTAATACCAATCCCTCCTAGTCGCTGAACTTCAAGTCTAAAAATCGTGCCTCACTCATATTCACTCAGCCTTGCTCCAATCCAAGCATATCCAAACCAAGCTCATCACTTCTTAACATAAATTTCCTTAAATAACAAAACTTACACACAGCCCACAAGAAAATCACAGTGACTCATAAGGTAACTACCTAATACCAAAAACTACTTACTTGGCACTTAACATATTTTTCTCTGGTATCAAAAGCAAAATACTAACCATTACTACTTTGTAGGGTCACATTATCAATTGTAAACACCTGTATTATGTTTATTGGCTGCATAAAAATCTACTAGATCGGTCTTTCAGTTTACTCTATAAACTTTCATTACAATCTAAACACTATAGGAGTCATTATTACACTTAATATTCTACATATATCCAGGATAGCTTTCTTAGAATACATACAAAGATGAGTCAAAGAAGTGTCTAGAAAAATGTTAAAAGAAGTTTCATACATCTGCTCAAAAATGCTCCTCACAAAGGCTGCAAAAATTTATAATCAATAGTGTAAAAGGGTCTGCTTTCTCAAAATTCAGTTTTTAAAAAATGCAAATTTAACCAACTGAAAATAAAGATGATCTCTATTTGGTTTGATTTTACTTTGTAGATCATCAGTAAGAGTAATCTTTTAAAAAATAAACGTATTAATATGCTGATAAAAAAGACTATGAAACAAGAGTGTAGGAGAGCTGAAACATCTTCATTTTGCAACCACCACAGGAAAAATTAATTCAAATAAGAATCATCAATGAATGCTCATTTTATTTATTTTTTTAATGAATGCTCATTTTAAAGGGGAAAGTTCGATGAGGAAGAGGTTATTTACACAGGGTCTCAAAGTGTCTCCACAAAGATTATTTTTTAGTTGTTGGCTAACAATAAGGGAAATGGGCAAAACCTTGACTGAGTAATCAAAATTAACATCCTCAGTGAGGGCAGAGACATCGCACATCCTACACGTGGGACTCAGAAATACTCCGTATCAGTTAAACAGCATTCCAAATAGACATCTATAACCTTAATCTAATCATAAAGGAAACATCAAACAAATTCAAACTGAACATTTTTTACAGTAACTGGCCTTCTTAAAAAACTGCTATTAAAAAAAAATTTTTTTTAATTAAAAAAAAAAAACTGCTATTATTTCAGAAGACCAAGAAAGGATGAGAATGGTTCCAAATTAATGAAGACTAAAGAAGCTTGTCAAGCAAATAGGATATGATGATTTTGTACTGGAAAGATACATGATATAAAAGACATTATTGGAGTAAATGACTTTATTGGAATAAATGAAAGTTCCACATGGACAAAATTGGAATATTAACTGTCTGACTAGTCGAAGAACAGGAAGCCCCATGTAGTCAAGTGGCATTTACTTGAAAGTAAGGTTGGCCACTTTGTGCACAGCACCTGGTACTACAGGGTTTGACAACTCCAATAGCAAACCAAGTGTCAGGACTGCAGAAAGGTTGAAACAGGCTGGAGTGGTACCATCATAAGCTATGAAACTGACCAGCAGCCATGAAATTAAAAGACACTTATGCTCCTCAGGAGGAAAGTTATGACCAACCTAGATAGCATATTAAAAAGCAGAGACATTACTTTGCCAACAAAGGTCTGTCTAGTCAAGGCTATGGTTTTTCCAGTAGTCATGTATGGATGTGACAGTTGGGACTATACAGAAAGCTAAGCACAGAAGAATTGATGCTTTTGAACTGTGGTGTTGGAGAAGACTCTTGAGAATCCCTTGGACTACAAGGACATCCAACCAGTCCATCCTAAAGCAGATCAGTCCTGGGTGTTCATTGGAAGGACTGATGTTGAAGCTGAAACTCTAATACTCTGGCCACCTGATGTGAAGAGCTGACTCATTTGAAAAGACCCTGATGCTGGCAAAGATTGAGGGCAGGAGGAGAAGGGGACAACAGAGGATGAGATGGTTGGATGGTATCACCGACTCAATGGACATGAGTCTGGGCAGGCTCCAGGAGTTGGGGATGGACAGGGAGGCCTGGCGTGTTGCAGTTCATGGGGTCGCAAAAAGTCGGACACTACTGAGCGACTGAACTGAACTGAACTCACTAGCTAAAGTTCCCATCAAGAGAAAATACTGAAAGTAGAATCAAAATTGGGCCACATATACAGAAAATTCCCAAAAAAGTTCCACATTGGTGGAACAGAACAAAGCCTGGAAATCTCAGAAAGCAAGCCAACATAATTACAAAGGTAAAGAGGAAACACTGAAATGAGAAAAGCCACTCTGAACCATGTTGCCATGTAAAAGTTCAAGACTCAGTTCACATAAAAAAGAGCAATCTAAAAGTAAAGATCAAACCCAATACAAAGTTAGTATAAGAGAAAAAGAATAAGCAAGGTAATACGCCCCCATAACCAATGACAGTACACCAAAAAAGGTGCCTAGGGAAAAAAGTAAAACCACTATCTTCTGTTTCAAAATGTAAAAGACTGAGCATAAAGAAAAAGATAAAAACATAAAAGAATAACACTTTATGTCTACATTTTTCTAACTCAGAAAT